CACTTATCAGATATCTTGAGGGTTTCTAACACTCTTTTCTTCCTTCTCTACGTGCAGCATAATAAATGTGCCACATACTCTGTGGGGATGCAGAAAACTTACTCCATGATCTGCTTAGCCATAGATGATGATGATGATAAGACTGATAAAACGAAGAAAATCTCGAAAAAGCTCTCTTTCTTGAGCTGGGGTACCAGCAAGAACAGACAGAAGTCCGCCAGCACCTTGTCCCTCCCATCGGTTGGGGTTGTCAGGCCTCATGTCAAGAAGAAGCTCCCCGCTCCTCTCAGCCTCCTTACCTCCGACAGTTCTTTGTACTAACGCTCAGTCCCAAACGTTTCCAGTGCTGGCAAGGCCTTCATATTTGTGCCATAATGGGAAATTTCTAAATAGCCTCAATCCTGTTTTCTCAGTGTAACCTTACAATGGATGTCTATGAGTGAAAGTAACAAGGAACTTACAGAAATGTGTGGAAAACAAATTTATTCAAGGATTGTCACCATATTGCTGCACGTTATTTATTACACAACGTATTAGAAATAGAATAGCAATGAAAATATGGCAATTTTTAATGGCTACAATTATGACTTAGTTACCATCAGAGTTAAATTGGGGTTACCTATATTGGTCTTATATGTCAGTTTCCATATAAATTGGGTAATAGATCATTCCTTAATCCAAAATCTAGATGAGCCCAAATGAAGGCAGTCAAGGGACTATATGGATGGGTTTTAATTAGTATTACTAAAAGGGTTACAAAGAGCTGCTTTCTAAGGGGACTTCATTAACCTAAAATGTCAAGATTTTACTATTATTTCTATATAATATGAATGCTATTTCCAGATAAAGTCTAGTATCAAATTTGTCATGACTTATTAGATAAAACCATTTTGGAGCACCCTTCTAGTTACATGTCATTTACAAGTTGCTAACACAGTGGCAGTGTTAGATGAAGATGCTGTCTACAAGGTAGATAATATACTGTTTGATACTCAAAACATTTTTCATTTTGTTTAAAGTAGAAAGTACATAGATGTATATTTTAAGTCTTTTAAGTGGGTTGAATTTTAGAAGGTACTGATGTAAATGATTCATTTGACTTCCTAAAATGACATTCTTACCAGTTGATTTCTCATGCTATAAGCTGGATGATACTGTGATTCTAATAAGATTCACTGTTGACATAGCACAAGTTATATAGTTTAAAAACATAGCATTGAGATCTAATTTTGAGAATTAACAAGAATTTAAAATATTCTCTAGTGTGCAATATCAAAAGGGAAGCAACACCTTTGGGAAAGTGTATCCACTGCTCTTAGGGCATTTTTGTGTAAATATTTAAATAAACAGATTCATTTGCCTGAGTTAATGTTTTTTATTTTTTTCACTTCAGTTCTCTCCTTTCAAAATGCTTCTATATTAATGCACAAATGATTTGTGTGGTTTTTTTAAAATTACTAACATTTCATAAAACTGGACTTTCAAGTTATCTTAGTATCTTTGAAAACATATTTAATTTTATTTTATTTACTTAATCTTCACCCAAGGATATTTTTTTCATTGGATTTAGAAAGAATGAAAGGGAGAGTGGGAAGGAGGGAGGGAGAGAGAGAGAGACATCAATTGGTTACCCCCCTCATGTGCCCTGACTGGAGCAGGATTGAGCCTGCAACTGAGGTACATACCCTTGACTGGGAATGAGAACCGTGGGTTCAGGGTTCACGCTCTAACCACTGAGCAAAACTGGTGAGGGCAGTATTTACTTTTTGTATAGGCAGGTGTACCTTTTGATCCCCAGCTCTTCTTTCTGGACACAGCTGCCTGCCATTTGCCTATGTATCTTCACATTGTTGGCTATACATTTACAAACACACTCCCACTCCCCCCCAATTCTTCCCCTGCCCCCTCCCCCCACCCACCCACACACACACACACACACACACTTCGGTTTTTCATCTTTAAGTGGGTACTCTACACTCCAGGCTTTCTGTGTTCAGATGTGCCCAGTGATTATAAACAATTGCAGCCATCATAAAGGAAGCGATTGAGGGAGGAAACACAAAGGCTGTACAATTTATTTACAATGGCAGCAACCCTTAAGACCAGACCTGAAGAGCAGTGGCTTTGCCACCAGGAACAAGGGGCTTATGGTACACAGTGCTTCATTGTAGGTCTGTCTCCTTTAGAAGGTCATATCCACTGAAACCTGATAAGATCTTTCCATTACAGATATAGGTCAAGGTCACACATTCAAATCTGCCCAAGCTGGCTTTTTTATCAATCAGAGTCTCTAATTCTAGGGACTCTCTTAGGAAGATCGCCACTGGCCCTCTTCCTGGTAGCAGAGCCAGGCAGCACCAACTTAAATGCCAGCACATGGAGCAGCACAGGACAGCTGGCAGGGTCCACTCAGGCCTCCCCTCATCTTTCACTAGTTATGAGAGGAAATCTTTTTTTCTTGATTTTTAAATGTGAAAAGAAAACAAGAGCCTGCAGTTGGTGTAAAGTAGAACCGTAGCAGATGCTGTGGTAAGAGCTGTCACCGGGACTGTGTGAAGAACGCATGAATTTGCTGAGCTGCTGCCTGCCCAACGACCTGCTCCAGGTCTCGGATGGAAGCATTGCTTAGCTGCAGGAGACTCGGGAACTTCTGAAGCAGCAGGGAAGCTTTCACTTTCCCCACTCCTGGGATCTGCTGCACAGTTCGAAGTAAGAACGGCTCAGAGAGCCGAGCCTGCTGCTTCCTGAGAAAAGGATTCTTACTGGGTTCTTTGGTTTGCTCTTGAACCTAAAAGGAAATTAAAGAGCACGTGAGCACCCTCTAGAGGACTAACAGTTTCAGTTTTTCTATTTGGTTCAACTTTTCACTACAAATGTTTTCATATCATGAACGCAATTTTTCATCAGCAAAACTATTGAAAGGTGGACCATATGACTACACAAAGGAGTAGAGATAAAATTTTTAAAAGTAAAAACTTGGGTTTCCAGAAGGGTTAGGATAAAACCAATGAGAACATACTCTGAGGAATTCAAACTTGCCCTATGATCCACTGAGAAGTGTTTCAGTTGTATGAGATTAAGTGATGACTATGTCTAAATCAGACCTGCCTGTCAAAGGAGAAACCCAGTCTTCAGTTATGGATACAGGAAGGCAGACAATAGCACTACATCAAGGAAAGTTAGGAATAGTAAAACAAGAAACGTGGCAGAGAGCATGGAGGGATCTGTGAACAATTTAGTTCCCAATCTTAGCTGCACATCAGAGGAGAAGATTTAACATCAACAACATAACACAAATCGATGCTTAAGCCCTACTCCCACATTCTGATTTTTAACTGGTCTGAGGTAAGGCTCATGTATTGCTATTTTGAAAAGTTTCTCCACAGAATTCTGACGTACGATCAAGTTGAATAATCTTCAACAAGGTTTAAAAACAACATTACCTTGCACACTGAATGCTAATAAGATATGTGGGGATGAGGCAAAGCAACTGCTAGAGGATCTTTTCCCCAGCATCAATGCAGAGTAATTAATGATGGAGTCATCACAGCCTGGGAGTCTCAAATCAAGTCTCCAACTTGTTCACTTTGTAAACAGTTGCCTAAAATAGGTATCAAACTCAGCTGGTTGCAGGGGCAGCTTCTGGACTTAAATTCCTCAAAAAGGTTCTATGAAGCAACACAGAATGACTGGATTGCATTGATGAGCTTAGGAAGAAACCGTAACGAACAAAGCTGCTGAAAGATCCATGAAGGTCAGTTGAGAATCCTCAAGAGAGGGCTCTTACAGAGGAGCAGGAAGCAGCACTTACTAACTGGACAATGACGCAGGACGCTTCCATCTGGCTGGCCACTGGAAGCAATGCCATCCCGAGGTCCAGCACAGTAAACTTCTGTATGGCTGGGAAGTACTGTTCACTCGTGGGCGTTTTTTCAACTAGCACAATTCCTTGAAGATTGCTGGACTTCAAGGAAAAAAACAAAACAAAACAGTAAACCATTTTGTAACAAAATTCCTTTCAGGCTTAAGACAGCTATCCCTCCAAACGTTTGGAATGGCCAATGGTTTTATATAAGTTATTCCATACATAAGAGGAAGGAGGACTAGAAATTAATTTCCAATGTCAGTGTCTTCAATTCAGTACTTACATTTCTAACACGAACCAGCCTCTTTCGGTAGCTGTTTCCTGCCACCAAATCGGCTTCTGTGACATAAAGAATGCAGGATCTGACAGACAAGTAAAAATCTACCGGTGCTAGGCCATCTTCAAAAACAAGTTTAAATTTCCCTTAAATGCAGACATGAAAATAAGTTTGAATGAAAAAGGTAGCAATTGGTTGAACGTTTTTTTAAAAGTGGGGTGAGAACAAGAGAGGGTTTTTGCAGAGGGCAGCCCACCGACCTTGTATGCCCTGTGCCAGCTGCGACCCACGCCACTTCTCATTGGCAACCACGTGCCCCAAAGGCACGTGCACAGGGCCTGTGCCAGCAGGGGGGTTCCTCTCCATGGCGGTAGCCTCGATCTAAAGAGGGAAATGCAAGACTGATATGCAAGGCTGTCCTGCACATGGCCCCGCATTCCCCTCGAAGCCGGGACGGGGCCTCTTGGCAGGAGCCGGGCGTCAGTGTTCTCTCATTACTTGCCAAAGCCTAAGAACCAGGAGATTCCTGTCCTGGAGGCCCAGGCCCGCGTTTTCGTCACCTGCCCGACTACTCACACCCCAGCTCCTCCTTCCGCGCCCGGGCTGCACAGTTGCCTCCTCTCGTCTTGCCCGCCCTCCTCTCACGGCGCCGGATAGGCTATTTCATCAGAAATCGACATCTCCTCTGGCCAATAAGAGCACGGACAGCACGCACAGTTTCCGCCCCGGAGGGATTTGAACAGGACCCGCTGGTTGCCAAGAGCGACGGGCAGGAAGTATCCTGGGCCCTGATTGGCCGGTGGGGAAGCAGAGCCAGTGGCAGACGCGGTTGCTGCCGAGTCCCCGGAGTGGAAAATGCGTCCGGGGGCCAGGCCGGCGGGCGGGGACCGGGCTTTAGGGAGCGGTCCTGGGCTTTGAGGAGACTGGCTTGTCTGTCCGGACGCGGTGGGACCATTCCCCGCAGCAAAGATGCTCCTGGGCGTTCCGAGAGGCCGCAAGAGCCAGTTTGTAAGTAAATTCTCGCGCGGCCCGCGCCCTGGCCCGAGCACCAGGAGTGACAGGAGGAGAGTTTGGGATTGGGCTTGAGATTGAGGCAAGGTAGCGGCGCTCGGGGCAGTGGTTTTCCATTCGAAAAGCCCAGATCCTTTGTGCTCTAAAGAACCCTTCGTCCCAGGTGAGCCTCAGTGGGACAGGAATCGCCCTGTCTCCCCACATCGTTCTCTCAGGTGTCGGGGAGCTCACTCCTGCCCGCCACAGACCTGCTCCACTGCTGGTGTCCCCAGCAGGGAGTCGTTCTTGATTCCTCCCGCCACCCACCGCGGACACCCTATGGGAAGTTCTTCAGAGTCTGCCCACCAGATACATCTGGCAGCTGTTCCCGCCCCGCCCTGTCCTCCAGCTTCTTCCTGAACTGATGCAGCAGCTCCTCACTATTTCTCTGCTTTTTTTTTTTTTTTTTTTTTTTTTTTTTTTTTTTTTTTGCTACGTACTTGCTCTAGTTACCTGACTCCAACAATCCGTTAACACAAACCTCCCATCCCCATCCCGCACAACCAGTCTATTGATCTTACCAGTGTTCTCCCTGTCCTCATTTCCAGCCCTAGTTTCTAATTCCACAGTCTATCATTATAATCACTCTTTGTGTACACCCCCAACTCTCGTGCTGCTGTCTCTTTCGCCACTTGCCTGGCGAAACTCAAAACCTCCTTCTATTCAGTTCTCCATAAACGTAATACTTTAAGTGAGCAGAAAGCATTTTGATAAGGGCATTCCTGAACTCTGTTTTAAACCGAGGATAGAAAGCATGTCTGACTTGGCTACCTGTTCTCAGCCCCCGCAGCTGCAGCGAGCATTTTAGACAGGCTGAGAAGCAGGGAAGACATACTTGAGGCATGTTTTTGCATTGCAGTTTGCTTGCTCAGAGTGGCATTGTTGAGTTCCTGCTCTGTGTCAGATAGCCACAGTTAGTTGACAGCCTATGGCCACACCATCTAAAGGATTAGACGAACCCTTAAATAATTCATCATAGAGAGTATGTATAGAGATGAGGAAGGGTAGCAAGAAGTGAATTTTGGTTCATTGGTAGGAACCAACAGCAACTTAGCAGCCACACTACCATTAACCTGTCATCAAGAGATGGGGCTGCCCATGAGGGTCTTCCTGTGGTTTGAGATGGGTCCATCCTGTGTTTTAGAGGCTGAGGTCGGAAGACCACAGCGGGAAATGATTATAGTGGGTACAGTGAGAAATGTTCAGCATATTATGGAAGATTCACTTTATTAAAAAAAAAAAAAAAAGACCTTATCATGAGGCCTTTTTGGAGGATATATGGATTCCTTTTTATTTTATTTTTTCTCCTTGAGCATCTCCTTGGGGTGGGGGAGGAGGATGGGGAATGGGGGAGGAGGCAGATATTAAACTGTCAAATTGTGTGACCAGTGCGGGATGGTAGGTGCTACACAGTGCGGTAAACGGAGAATAGAGGAATATAGCAGACACTGCTCTGGAATGCCTGTTCTTGGGGTTGGCATGCAAATGAAATTGAGGATTTGGGGGGATGCTGCAGGAGACATTTGGAAGGTCTCTCCATCCCTCCTGAAGGATGCCCCAACCCTGGCTTTCCCCTTGGTTGTACCTGTCTTCTCCCCATACCTTATGCCTACCACTGCTTCATTAATCTTTCCAGGGGGCATTTTCAGTGGGTGCTCCCCACTGGGCCCCAGGATCACCTTAGTCTTGTTTCAAAACTCTTAAATGGAAACAATCCCCATTCTTAGTCCCAACCCATTGTTCTAGCCTCTCCCTCTCAGATGCCTCTATGTTATAGCAAACTCGATACTTGTTATTTCCAGTCTGGAAATGAAGCCACTAATGTCTTGCTTCATTCCTTTGTTCATGCTGTTCCCTCTTCCTAGAATGCTTTTCTTCATATTTCCCGAATGTGAGAGCAGTAGCCATCTTTGAAGATCTAGTCTAAATTTCTCTGTGGTTTTCTCCAAGGGGCATAAGAGGGCCCCTTCCCTCCCCGGGTCACCTCAGCACTTTTCTTATCTTTCCCCTGGCACGTTCCATAATTCCCTGTTACATAGTAAGTATTTGCATGTTTTCCTCTGCACTCTCCCTCCTCTCCAAGGTTTATTAATTGCTGTCATGCCATTTTGCTTCTAGTAGGTGTGAATGAATGGCTGGTGCACAGAATGATTGGGCTATTCTCAGAAACTTCTGAGAGACTCCCAGTTGCCTAAAGCAGATTCCCCTTACTTTTAATGTGTGTAGGAACTAGTTTTTGTTATTCTGCATTATCAGAACTACCTAAAATGTACAGGTGTAGAGCGAAGTGCTAAGTGCTGGAGTTCAGGGTTGATAAAGAAAAGATGGTTGCCTGCTCCCAGGAAGCTTCTGTTCTGTAGGGGGTTGGCAAGTGATTGCCTGAGGTCACCGGAGGCAGTGCTATAAGACAAGTGGAGGTGCCTCGGGGCTCCCCTGGGGGTCAGGAAAGCTGCTCTGAGGAGGAAAGGTGAAAGGCCCCACTCTAAATGCTCCCTGGGTGGGCATGCCTGCCTGGCCACTTGAGCGTGGGGAGGAGTGGGCCTCCTGGTGGGGCTAGGCCCCTGAACTGCCAGTGTCCCTTCTTAGGCCTAGGGAGGGGTGGTGGCAGGCCCCAAGTGATTCTTTACACAGTGACCTGTTCTGGGTTTTATTTGTGCAGAAACACATCATCCATGGCCTTCTACCTGCAGCCAGCATTGCTCCGAAGCCAGCTGTGCCCCGCACACCTCCTCCCCGCAGCCCCAACCCCTCTCCAGAGAGACCGAGGTGAGTCTCAGGTGAGCAGGCACTGAGGTCACCCTTGTGCTCAGCCGCCAAGTGGTGGGTCCAACTGGCAAGATTACAAGTAGGGTGATTAGAATCATGTCCTTTGAAATATTTATCATGGATCCATAATTTAATATGATTTCTCTGTGGGATAATGGCCTATCTCTTTCAGGTGTGGACTCCTCACATTTCGTAATTGAATGCAATTAGTATTTTTCAAAATATTAAAGCCCAAGTATTTCAGTTGATGGTATGTTAAAAGGAATTTTAATTGTGGACATAATTTTCTCTTTAAACACAAGTCGGCCTTTCAAACGAGCTGCTTTGTGGGAGGGAATGAGAAGCGGGTTCACTCCCCAGGGCCTGGGATTTCCCACGTCCTCCAGGGCTCCTAACACGTCGGTTAGATGACTTTGTGTTATACATCATCAAAACTAAGGCCCCTGCCTGTGCTCTCAAAGATTTTAGATATAGGAGAAAGTTAGAGTATTTTTTGTACATTAGATACCTGGATGCATGACTTGATATTAACAATGAGAACAAATTTCATTCCGGGATGATACCTTCTTCTAGTGTTCTTTGAAACTAGAATATTGTATGCCTCCTGATTAAAAAACACAAATATTTTTAGTGTTTGTTTTCTCCTTTAGTATAATCTTGATAATAAGAATAGCCACTTATTAGTACTTACTCTGTGTCAAGGAATCCAGTAAGTGCTCCGCCTCTCAGTGACCCCATGAGAGAGGTCCTGTTGGCATCTCTCCGAGCTCCAGTGTCAGCATTTGCCTGAAGCCTCACAGCTGGCGAGCAGTGGCATCGCTGCGCTGCCCTTGAAGGTCTGTCCAGCTCCATTAAGCAGTGATATTATAACTTAAATGTTTCTGTAGCAGCAGCAGTAACGAGACAGGCAGCTTTACATCCCATTATAAAGCAGAAAAGCAAAAGAACGGGTCATGCTGAAACCGGTTTGGCTCAGTGGTAAAGCGTCGGCCTGCAGACTGAAAGGTCCCAGGTTCGATTCTGGTCAAGGGCATGTACCTTGGTTGCGGGCACATCCCCAGTGAGGGTGTGCAGGAGGCATCTGATGGATGTTTCTCTCTCATTGATGTTTCTAACTCTCTATCCCTCTCTCTTCCTGTCTATAAAAAAAAATCAATAAAATTTATTAAAAAAAAAAAAAGAACGGGTCATATCCTGCCAAGCATGCTATAGACTCATTAGAAAACTTCTAATAGTCTCTGTGATTTACAGAAATATATTCCCAGATTGTAATCTTTATAAACCCCAAATAAACAACATGACTTTAGCAAACTTGGCATACTTCTAGATCTTTTTATTTTTAAAAAATAACACTTAAATTAATATTTGATATTATCCCACTTCATGTGTAGTATAATAGTGTAAGAGTCTTTTGTTATTTACTTTGCCTCCCTCCCATCCATTGTATAACTATCATCATACATTTTAATTTTATCTATTATAAACTGCATAATATATTACTATTTTTGCTTTAGTTATCTTTTTTAAAAACAGTGTGTTTTTTTGGGGTATATTGGGCTATGATCAACTTTGTATTTAGAAAAATTTTTTTTAAATTTATTTCAGAGAGGAAGAAGAGGGAGAGAGATAAAAACAGATCGAGCCCATAACCCAGGCATTTACCCTGACTGGGAATTGAACTATGACCTCCTTGTTCATAGGCCGATGCTCAACCACTGAGCCACACTGCCTGGGCCATATTTAAAATTTATAATGGGTAAATTTTTTTTTAAATAAGTTTTTATTGTTCATATTATTACAAATGTTCCTTCCCCCCCCCCCACCATTGCTCTCCTCCACCAGGTTCCCACCCCACCCTCTGCCCTTTCCCCTCTCCCCATTGTCCTCATCCATAGGTGCACAGTTTATGTTCAGTCTCTTCCCACGCCCCCCTCTCCCCTTTTCCCCAAGAATTGTCAGTTCACTCCCCTTCCATACCTCTGATTCTATTATATTCAACAGTTAATATTGTTCATCAGATTTTTTTTTAATTTCCTTGTTTTTTTAGATTGACTTGTTGATAGTTACGTATTTGTTGTTCATAATTTTTATCTTTGTTTACTTTCTCTTCTGAAAGAACCCCCTTCAGCAATTCATATAATTCTGGTTTGGTGGTGATGAACTCCTTTAGCTTTTTTTTATTAGTGAAGCTCTTTATCTGGCCTTCGATTCTGAGTGATAGCTTTGCTGGATAGATTATTTTTGGCTGTAGGTTCTTGCTATTCATCACCTTGAATATTTCTTGCCATTCCCTTCTGGCCTGCATGGTTTCTGTTGAGAAGTCAGCTGACAATCGTATAGGTGCTCCTTTATAGGTTACAACCTTCTTTGCTATTGCTTCTTTTAATATTCTCTCTTTGTCTTTTGCTCTTGGAATTTTAATAATGATGTGTCTTGGTGTGGTCCTCTTTGGATTCCTTTTGTTTGGAGTTCTGTGTGCTTCCTGGACTTGTAAGTCTAATTCTTTCACCAGGTGGGGAAAGTTTTCTGTCACTATTTCTTTCAGTATGTTTTCGATATCTTGCTCTCTCTCATCTTCTGGGACCCCCATAATTCTGATGTTGGTTCGCTTGAAATTGTCCCAGAGGTTTCTTACATTATCTTCAATTTTCTGGATTCTCTTGCCTTCTAGCTTCTGGCTCTTTATGTTCCAAATCTTTGACTTGATTCTTGCGATCTTCCCTTCTGTTTTTATTACTCTGTAAAATATTTTTTATTTCAGACAATGTATTCTTTATTTCTTGTTGATCCCTTATCATTTCTTGTTGATCCCTTATCATTTTTTGTTGACTCCTTATTAATTCTAGTTGATCTCTTTTCATGTCCTCATAGGTCTTATCCATCTTTTCTAGGAAATTCTTGAAAAACCTTATAAGCGTAGATTTGAACTCTATATCCAGACGCTTTTTGTCCTCCATTTCTTTTGTTTGTGATCTATTTTGTTGTCGCATTTCACAGTTACAGATGGGACGGGGTTTCAGGGTGGAGCCTGCATCTTTGGCTTCTGTCAGCCCTGCCCTATGCGGGTCCTTCAGTGCTGGCTGCCGGCGCCTCTGAGAGAAAGGTGCCCTCGATTTTCACCTGCTGCCAAACAGTCTATGCTCTCCCACAATGAGCCCGGTATTGGGGCTCAGTTCAGTTGGAGGTGGAGTTGGAGGTGGCATTCAGAGCAGTCTGGAGCTCCAGTCTCCTTCCCGTCAGGGCAATCCCGCGGCACAGCCGACCGTCCCTTCTCTGCGCGCCGTGTGCGCGCCTCCGGGACCTCCTTTCGCCTCTCCCCGGGGTTCCGCCTTACAGCCCGGCTCCCTATGGCTGAGCCTGAGTCCCCGGGGTCTGGCCTAAAACTGGGGTTCAGAGCAGTCGGGGGCCCAGCACAGTCGGAGTTTTATCTCCTTTCTGCTAGGGAACGCCCGCCAGGCACTCGGCCTCCCTCCTCTCTGGCTCTGTCCTCTCCGCGCGCGCCGCGTCTCCGTACCTTAGGCTTTTCCAGTTCCTCCGCGCCTCCTTCTGGTTTTCTCCTTGCTTCTCGCTGTAGAATTTCCAGTCAGTCAACCTTCCTGTAGTTCTGGGCAATGTCCGTTTTATATTTTAGTTGTATTTTATTGAAATTGTTGTGTGCGGCTGCGGCTAGGTGTTCACCTGGGCGCAGCCATCTTGGATCTCTCTATAATGGGTAAATTTTTGACGTAGGTTTACACCTGTGAAACCATCAAGATAATAAATATCTATTATTCCTCAAAGTTGAATGTCCCTCTCTTTCACCTCCCATTCCCCTCACCAACCCATCCTCATCCCCATTCCCAGGCAACCATTGATCTGCTTTCTGTCACTATAGATTAGCCTGCATTTTCTTTTCTTTTTTCTTTCTTTTTTAAAATTTCAGATTTACTATTTCTTTTGTTTCTCTTTTATTTTATTTTTATTTTTAAAAAATATATTCTATTGATTTTTTTACAGAGAGGAAGGGAGAGAGTCAGAAAGTTAGAAAGATTGATGAGAGAGAAAAATTGATCAGCTGCCTCTTGCACACCCCTCTTGCAACCAAGGTACATGCCCTCGACTGGAATCGAACCAGCCTGTGGACCCTTCAATCCACAGGCTGATGCTCTATCCACTGAGCCAAACTGGTCAGGGCTTTATTTTATTTTTTAATTTTTATTGATTTCAGAGAGAAAGGGAGAGGGAGAGAGATAGAAATATTAATGATGAGAGAGAATCATTGATTGGCTACCTTCTGCATGCTCCCTACTGGGGATCAAGCTTGCAACCTGGCATGTGGCCTTGACTTGAATCAAACCCAGGACCCTTCAGTCCGCAGGCTGATGCTCTATCCACTGAGCCAAACCAGGTAGTCTGCATTTTCTAGAATTTTATATAAACAGAATTACATAAAATAATTAAGCTGTCCTCTTCCATTCAGTATAATTATTTTGACATTCATCTATATAGTTGTGGAAACCAGTTAATTTGTGTTTTATTATTGCTGAGTAGTAAATGTTCCATTACATGAATACAGGCAGTCCTCGGGTTACATCGGATTTGACGTATGTCGTTTCGTGGTTACGTCACCATCTCCCATTTATTTATAAAAAAACTAAGTTATTTCATTTTGACATATGTACATATGTGCTTTATGTTTTTTATTATTTATTTACCACAAATAAAGTCAGGAATTGTTATCTTTCTTTTAAACTTATTTCACTGTTTCACTTCATTACTGCTGTGTCTGTGCTCCGTGTGAGTGACGTAGGTGCTTATGTAGGTGGGTTCCGGCTTACAGCGAAAATTGTGTTTCATTGCACTGCACCCTAGGAACAGATCTCCGATGTAACCTGCTGTGTGCCACAGTTTATTTATCTACCCACCTATTGATGGATATTTAGGTTGTTTCCAATTTGAGGTTACTAGAAATAAAGCTGCTATGAACATTTGCATACAAATGTTTGATTGGACTTATACTTTCATTTTTTGGGGTAAATATCTAGGAATGAAATACCTGCTTCATGTACTAGTGTATTTAACTTACTAAGAAATTGCCAAACTATCTCCCAAAGTTGTGATTCCATTTATGTTCCCCCAGCAGTGTATAGTTCCAGATTCTTCACATCCTCAGCAACATTTGATTTGGTCGGTCTTATTTTTATGTGGGTAGAGGTATAGGCGGTATGGATTCAAGTTCCTTTTTCACATATGGGTAACTGTTTGTTCCAGCACAGGTTGAAGGCCATTATATTAGTTAACTATTGCTATGTAACAAATTACACCAAAACTTAGTGGCTTATGCCGGGACCGGTTTGGCTCAGTGGATAGAGCGTCAGCCTGCGGACTGAAAGGTCCCGGGTTCGATTCCGGTTGAGGGCATGTACCTTGGTTGTGGGCACATCCCCAGTAGGGGGTGTGCAAGAGGCAGCTGATCGATGATTCTCTCTCATCGATGTTTCTAACTCTATCCCTCTCTCTTCCTCTCTGTGAAAAATCAATAAACTATATATAAAAAACAAAAACAAAAACAAAAAACCTTAGTTGCTTAAAACATAAAACAATAGCAGTTTTTTTAATCTCATATCTCACTATGTTCTTTTTTTATTATTACTTTTTCCTCTTTGCATTCATTTTAGTTATTTTTTATTGTAATGCCTTCAGTTTTATAAGTCTTTTCTGTAATCCCTATCCAGTATAATTTTCATCCACTGAAGTTCAAGCCTTTTTTATAACCTTTCATTTCTCTACTTAGCTTTTGAACATGTGGAATTCAGTTATAACTGTCTTAATGACCTTCTCTGCTAATTCTGACATATGTGTTCAGTTCTGACTGGATTTTTTTGTTTCTTCTTTTTATTATGTTTTTTGTCTTTTTGCATGCCTGGTTATCTTTGATTATATACTAGACATTATTGTGAGTTTTATGTTATTAAGTACTAGATATTTTTATATACCTACTAGAGGCCCAGCGCATGACATTCATGCCCTGGGGGAGTGGGGGGTTTTCCCTCAGCCCGGCCTGTGGCCTGTGCCCTTTCCCAGTCCAAGACCCTCAGGGGATGTCCGACCAATGGCTTAGGCCTGTAAGAAGCAGTCAGACATCCTTAGACCTGCTGTGGATGTGGGAGAGGCTCCCACCACCACTGCTGCACTCGCCGGCCCTCAGCGTGGCTTTTGGCTGATCGCCCCTAACCCCTCTGCCTGCCTGCCTGATTGCCCATAACCGCTTGACTCCCAGTGAGAGTGCACTGACCACCAGGGGGCAGCTCCTGTGTTGAGCATCTGCACTCTGGTAGGCAGTGCATGTCATTGTGACTGATAGTTCCCCATTTGGTTGATTTGCATATTATCATTTTATTATATAGGACTAGAGGCCCAGTGCACATGGGTAAGGGGAACCCTCAGCCCGGCCTGCATCCACTCGCACTGTGGGACCCCTCAGGGGATGTCCAGCTGCCAGTTTAGGCCTGATCCCTCTTACAATCCAGGACCACTGACTCCTAACCACTGGCCTGCCTGCCTGCCTGCCTGCCTGATCACCCTCAACCCCTCTGCCTGCCTGCCTGCCTGTTTGCCCCTAACTGCTCGCCTGCCTGCCTGATTGCCCCTAACCTCCTCTGCCTTGGCCCCCACGGCAGCTTCGTTCAGAAGAACGTCTGGAATGACGCCCGGAAGGTCATTTGGCTGTCCAGTCTAATTAGCATATTATATTGTTTTTATTATAGATAAATCTTCTTGAATTTTGTACTGCAAAATTTTGTAACTGCAATTAAGTTACCTTGAACCAGTTTGATCTTTTGGGTAGTGCCATTGTGATTTGATAGGTGAGGTCTAGGACTAATTATTCCCCACTACTGAGGCAAGACCTTTTGAAGTCCTTTTGGAATATTGTTCCCAACATCCCTTGAATTATAATTTTTTCCTGTCTGACTATTGGGAATAGACACTGACCTCAACCATATGTAGGCATCTGGCACTGTTCCTCTAATCCTTAGGAATGGTTCTTCCCCCAGTCTTGGGTAATTTCCTTGCATGCATGCACTGAGGAGCATTTTTCTAAACCTCAGGGGGGACTTTCTTCAGATTTCCTGAGTTTTCTCTGTTCAGCTCTCTTCTTTCTGATACTCTGTCTTTCAAATTCTACCTGTTGTTGTGTTCCCAGAACTTCAGCTTCATCTATACAACTCAGGAAGTCTGCCTGACCCCACCTCAGTTTCTCCTTCCTTTGCTGAGACCTGGGAAGTCTCTCTGGCAGTAAGCTGGGCCATTTGTTAAGTCTGTTATTTTGTTTTACTTTTTCAGATGGGAGGGTAAATCTATTATTCTATCTTTCCTATATTATGGTTTTGAATAATTTATATCTTCTTATACTTCCTTTTTCCCCTATCCTGTTCTTTTATCTATACCAGTGGTTGGGACATTGCGGCTCTGTTGACTAAAGAGTTTGCCGACCACTTGTTAGGGGCTTAATCACAAGGAACAACAACAACCTGTAATTATTGGAATTGAGAGTCTAGGTCAGTGGTCCGCAAACTCTTTAGCCAATAGAGTGAGCCGCAGTTTGCTGACAACTGATCTATACTAATAAAAGGGTAATATGCTGATTAGACTGGTAGACCTTCCAGGAGACCTTCCGGACATTCTTCTGGACAAAGCCATGGTGGTGGGGCCCAGGTAGAGGCAGTTAGGGGCCAAGAGGGGAGAGCAGTTGTGGGTGATCAGGCCAGGATGGGATGGCAGTTGTGGGTGATCAGGCCAGGGGGGTGGAGGGGCATTGGGGATGATCAGGCTGGCAGGGGGTAGAGGGTGGTAATTGGAGGTGAGCAGGCCAGCAGGGGGCCAGTGGGGGTGAAAAGACCGGCAGGGGGGGCAGTTAGGGGTGATCAGGCTGACAGGGTAGGGGGAAGTTTGGAGCGAGCAGGCTGGCAGGCAGAGTGGTTAGGGGCAATCAGGCAGGCAGGCAGGCAGGCAGGCAGGTGAGCAGTTAGGAGCCAGCAGTCCCAGATTGTGGGATCAGGCCTAAACCATCAGTCAGACATCCTCTGAGGGGTCCAACATTGGAGAGGGTGCAGGGACACCCCGACCCCCTGCATGAATTTCATGCACCAGGCCACTAGTTTTAATATAAAAACCATTTGAATATAGACTCCCTTGATTAGAGATCTAGTTTCATCTCCTATTAGCTTAGAAGTCTTGGACAAGTCATTTAATTTACATGAAAAATGGAGGTGACAATAATATCTCTTCATAAAGTTGATGTGAGAATGAATTAAGATTGTTTGATGGCACATAACAGACTGCAGGCCTGTGGTCAGTAGATATGCACTAAACATTGTAGAACAGATGGTGTGTTTTGATTAATATATGTATCCTGTTGTTTAACCTTTTCACCATCTCACTGGAATGCTTTTGTTCCATAGGTCTGCTCTGGCTGCGGTCATTCTAGCGACAACATTGACTGGCCGGACTATTGCCCTTCCTCAGCCACAACGGATATCCCAGTCTGAGAGTGACATGACCTACCTTGAAAATGACAGTTTCATCACGCCCTATGCCACCACCTCAGAGCTGAGGCATCAGTAAGGACCTATCTCTGATTCTGCTTCCTCTGGGAGCAGAGGAGGAGCAGCGTGTGTGTGTGTGTGTGTGTGTGTGTGTGTGTGTGTGTGTGTGTGTGATTATGACTAGAGCTTAGTAGTGAGTTTTTTTGTTTTGTTTTGTTCTTTTTTAAAACATATTTTTATCGATTTCAGAGACAAGAAGGAAAAAAGAGAGATAAAAACATCAATGATAAGAGAGAATCATTGATTGGCTGCCTCCTGCACCACCCCTACTGGCGATTGATCCTGCAACTCAGGCATATGCCCTGACCCAGAATCGAGCCATGACCTCCTGGTTCATAGGTCAATTTTCAACCACCAAGCATTAGTGAGGTTTTCGTCACCAATGTCAAAAGAACACTGTTCTGGGGTATTAATTATTCTTGAATTGTATCAGAGTTTTCTCTGGAGTGGATCTTGTTAAATTATGGCTTGTGAATGCAATGGTGGTTTTCATGGCCACACAGAGCCAGTGAATTTAGTGCTACTTTTAGACCTTAGTAGGATTCTCTGTGCCGCAACCTAGATGGTGAGAGTTGTCACTCACTGTTTGTCATGTATCTCTCCTCTGAACACTCATACTGATTTGACCATTGTTGACATCTATACTATAACTTTTCTTCTTCTTTAATGTCATTTCCTCCATTGCTTGAGCTGGGTTAATGCAACATAGGCCTAGGGCAGTGGTCGGAAAACTCATTAGTCAACAGAGCCAAATATCAACAGTACAACGATTGAAATTTCTTTTGAGAGCCAAATTTTTTAAACTTAAACTTCTAATGCCACTTCTTCAAAAAAGACTAGCTCAGGCCGTGTTATTCTGTGGAAGAGCCACATTCAAGGGGCCAAAGAGCCACATGTGGCTCTCGAGCCGCAGTTTGCCGACCCCGGGTGTAGGGAGTCAGGAAGGTTTCCTCCTGCAGAAGAGTGTTGAGGAGAGCACAGAGGAATTTACAAGATTCAAGTGGGAATGGCTTGAGGGATGGGGGATGCTCAGTGTGAGGCTGGGATGAGCTTCCTAGACAGAGAAAGAGGGAGCATGACACATGTGAGCAACAGAAGGGAGATGTTTGTGGCTGGGAGAACCTGAGGAGCGGGCAGGGGCCCAGTGTTCTGTTCTGAGGTTTGGTATCCTCCCTAGAAGCAGGAAGCACTGGGGGCTTTAAGGGCTTGAGGGATAAGCGGTGGGTGATACACAACCAGATTTGCCCTTTATCTGTCATGTTTATTCAATTTTGTTTTTGTTTGTATTTTTACATGCCAAATATTCTGTATGTTTCATGTAGTAAGATCTATCAGCCTTTTCTTTGTATTTTCTATCATTATTGTCAAATCTAGAAAGAACGTCCCTATTATATACAGCATTATATATATGCTCATGTATTTCTTCCTAGGACATGTTTATATTTTTGGTTTTTACATTTTAATCTTGACTCCATTTTGAGATATTTGAATATAGCCTATTTTTCTCTTGCTAGCAATTATACTTTGGCAGATTAGAGCTAAATATGAGGACAAGATTCTAAAATGTGTTGGGAAGAATAAGCAGCTAAGACCATCAAAAGAAACTGGGAAAGGAAGAATATTGACCCCAGGGGTAGGCTGCATTAGCCCCATTATATATTTTTTGTTAATCCTCTTCCAAGGATATTTTTTTAATTGATTTTTAGAAAGAATAGAAGGGAGAGAAGGGGCGGGGGAGAGAAAGATTGATGTGAAAGAGTCACATCAATTGGTTGACTATCACAGCGCAGGCACCCCAACTGAGGTAGGGATCGGGGATGGAACCTGCAACCCAGGTACGTGCCCTTGACTGGGAATCAAACCCGTGACCCTGTGGTGCATGGGCCAACACTCTGACTGCTGAGCCATACCAGCCAGAGTTAGCCCCATTATATTTTAAAACCTATAGTGGAGTTAGTAAAATAGAGGAGGACAGGTTCAGTAATAGAGCAGTGTTCATGAGCACCTGACGTGAACCTAGGGTTGGCAAGCATATTAATCTCTATTAAAGGCAACCGCACAGATCAAATGGAAAGGAAAGGATTCAACAATATATTGATTAGCAATTTTTTTGGAAAAATCAGCTTTGAGCCTTGCCTAATTCCAAAACAAATTTCTATTGAATGAAAGTATTGATTTGCATATATACATAAATGAGACTATTAAATCTTATATCCAACCTTATCAAAACTGCTATTTACTCCTACATCTAGATGGTTAAAAGAAAGTCTTAAAAATTATCTGTATGTTAAAAAAATTAATAGAATAGGAAAAATATTTGCAGTAAATATGAAGTCAGGCTTTTAATTTTAGAAGAAAAGAAAGTTAATTTCAAATTAGAATGGACATATTAGAAGCAAAATAAATAAATGGAGAAAGGACATGAATAGACAATTCACACTAGAGGAATTAAGGCTTACACACAGATATGGAAAAATATCTAGTCTCAATAAGATGCAAATTTATATTGTGAGATTTAATTTCTTTTGGCAAGTTTTATAATATTATTACCAATGTAGTCACAGGTTGGAAAATTATTTTTAAAATAATCTTGTGTGGTATGCATGTAGACCCACAAAATGTTTATACCGTTGACTAAGCAGTTTGCCATCTGGTTTGTTTTATAGGATTAATCCTAAAAACAGAAGAGATTATTTGCACGTAGATGTCCATTTCAGGGTTATTTATAGCAATGAAAATTGGGAGGGAGAAACCAGGTAAGGGAAATGGCTGACTAAACTGGTGTAACTACTTGAGTCTTTACCTTATAGCATTTTGACTTTAAAAACTTGTTAACAATGAAGCAGATTGTATTGTATGCAGTGTTAAGTATAAGAACCTCGGTAAAAAACTAGAAAGAAATTTTAAAAGAGTGTGCAGAGAGCCCGCTGGTGTGGCTCAGTGGTTGAGCGTTGACCCATGCACCCATGGTCACCTGTTGGATTCCCAGGCAAGGTACATGCCCAGGTTGCAGGCTAGATCCCAAGCAGGGGTCATCCAAGAGGCAGCTGATCAATGTTGATGTTTCTCGCTCATTAATGTTTCAATCTCTTTCTCTCCCTTCCTCTCTCTAAAGATCAATAAAAACACATTTTATAAAAAGTATGTATAATAGAAAGATGGGATAGTGGATGACTTAATCCTTTAGTTTCTATATCTTTTGTAAAAGTAGTTATAATACTTTCATGGTGGGGGCTCAGAGGCAGTGCATTTAACACATGTATATGTACCAGTGTGAAGTAAGTGGCGGCTTTAGTTACTTATTTTTCACTTTACAGACCGAACTGGCAGAGTGAGACAGGGAGAACGTCTTTGCCATCCTTTGAAATGCTGGACTACAGGGAGGAAGAGGACACTCCCTCGCACCTGTCATCTAGCGACAAGGAGTCCTCGGAAGTCAGTGCTCATAAGGAAGAGGGAAGAGCTGGTGTTGCTGTGTACGCCGTGCCACACGGAAATCAGGTATTTGTCATTCCAGAATTCCGTCTGCACCTTGACACTAACTTACAGTAAATGTGAATGTGTAAGGACTTTCTTTTCTCCCTTTTACCTTGATGGCTTTTGTTCTGGGGCTTATTTATTTTTTTAATGTGTCTAGTCTTGTTTTCTATCTGGTTAGGCTAAAATTTAAAACTTTTCCTTTAGCTTTCAAAAACAAACATCAACATTTTCAGTGTAGATTTTCTTCCGATGCTAAGTAATCCTGTTCTTGTCCTAGACCCCAAAGGCTACTTTTCTATCACCTTTCCCAGGTCATAGTTGCAACCTTTCTTCAAGTTCATGCCTGACAAAAGGAGTATCGTCATTTACCTCCATAGTAGCTGCTGCTGTTTGAGTGGTTACCGTGAGTCTCTACTTCAGGCTCTTCCATGTATTTACCTCCCAGTGTCTTGGTGCGGTAGGCTCCATGTTTGCACCTATCACAGGTGACAGCAGAGGTACTGCCTGACAGCACTGTAATTTATTTTTTCCTTCCTCTTTTTCACCAGCATTATAACGTGTTAGAATGGTAACTACAAATAAAGACTGACAGGTTCAAAGTATATTCATATTGATTAATTATATTGATTACCCACAACTTGAATCACATTTTTTTAAATAGATATTTTATTGATTTCAGAGAGGAAGAGCAAGGGAGAGAGAGATAGAAACATCAGTGATGAGAGGGAATCATTGATTGGTCGCCTCCTGGATGCCTCCTGCTGATTGCAATTGAGAGGTTTCATACTAACCTTTGCATTGTCCTGGCAGATGGCATAAATGAAAGGCCGCTATACGAAAGGGATTTCAATTTCCCGTAGTCTCACAATGATTTTTTTCCAGCTTCCTGGGAGCTGATAGACAGTATGTGAGGAAGACGCATTGACCTTTCCTTCACTAATATTTTCTTCATTAATATATGCCAGGCAGCTTCCATGTACCATTTCAAATATGTTTTTTTTAAATTGGTTTTTAGAGAGAGAGAAAGGGAGGGAGAGAGAATCATCAATTAGTTGCTTCTTGCACGCTCCCTACTGGGGATGAAGCCCACAACCTGAGTATATGCCCTGACCGGGAATCAAAGTAGCAACCTATTGGTACATGGGTTGATGCTTAACCACTGAGCAACACTAGCTGGGCAACATGTACCATTTCATTTACTTCACATCCTTGGGGGTAAGTATATAAAGAAACAGGATAAATGACTTGCCCAAGGTTCACCAACCACCCATCCAGTTGCAGAGGCAGGATTCAGATTAAGGTGAGCAATTTCCCCTATTAACATTAAAATTGGTGTTTATAGTCCTTGTGCCTATCAAGAATATTTCTTAGCCGAAACCAGTTTGGCTCAATGGTAGAGTGTCGGTCTACGGACTGAAAGGTCCCACGTTTGATTCCGGTCAAGGGCACATACCTGGGTTGTGGGCTCGATCCCTAGTGGGAGGCATGCAGGAGACAGCCGATCAATGATTCACTCTCATTGATGTTTCTAACTCTCCCTTCCTCTCTGAAATCATTTTAAAAAAAGAAAAAAAAAAGAAAATAAGAACCATTGATTGCTTGCCTCCCATATGTGCTCTGACCAGGAATCGAACCAGCAACCCTTTGATGCAAGGGCTGTCACTCCTGCACGCCCACATTGGGGATCGAACCTGAAACTCAGGCTTGTGCCCCGACCTGGAATCAAACTATGACCTCCAGTCAACCACTGAGCTATGCCAGCCAGGATTAATTAAAGCTTTTAAATTAGAATGTTGTTTTGAATATTGTAACAGTCCTCTGGTCTATTTATTTCTTTTTCTTTTATATGTATTTTTATTGATTTCAGAGAGGGAGAGAAAGAGAGAGATGGAAACATCAATGACAGGAGAGAATCATTGATTGCTATCTCCTGCAGCCCCCATCCCGCTGATGATTCAGCCCACACCTGGGCAGGTGCTTTGATTGGGAACCGAACCCACAACCTCCTGCTTCATAGTTCAACACTCAACCACTGAGCTATACTAGTCAGGCCTTTGGTTTATTTATTGATGTATTAATATATACAAAATATACATAAATCATAAGTGTACAGCTCAGTGAATTTTTATAAAGTAGCCACCACCCAGATTTTTAAAAAAAGAACATTATTAGTACCTCAGAAGTCCCTCTTTTGTGACAGAGAAAGGTCACTACTTCCCCCAGAGGTAAGCACTGCCCTAACCTCCAAGAGTAGATTAGATCTTAGAAAATAACCTTAGATTAGGTTTGCCCATTCTGAAAATTCTGTGAACTTAATCACATAGTAGATATTCTTTGTTGTTGTTTTTTAGTCTTCAGTTATTATGCATGCAGTGATTGGTTCATTCCTATTGCTGTATAATATTGCATTATGTGGAGAGAAACCAAGATGGCGGCATAGGATAGACACCTGAATGCAGCCTACCACAACAATTTTGAATTTAGAACTGGAAAACAGGGGAAACATCGCCCTGAAGGGCCAGACGGCTGGCTGAGAGGAGGCTCTACCATCCGGGAAGAAGAGAGAAGGCACACTGAGCCTCAAGAACTGTGAAGGTGCGGAGACCTGTGCACGCGAAAAGGTGGCCGCCTGAGTTCCCTGCTGGCTTACTCGCAGCACATGCGGAGAGGGTGGGCTGAGCTTGCGGCTGGCTTACTACAGGCACGCAGAGAGGGTGGACAGGTAAGATGGCTGGCTTTCTTATTCAGGAGGAAAACAGAACCACCCTATTGCTCTGATAGACGGCCCCAGTCAGGGAGAGGCCAGACTGTCAGGCAGTGGCAGAGATCTCTCGGAGGTGTGTGAAGCCAGCAGCCAGTACTGCAGGACTCAAGGAAGAGGTGACGGGAAACCAAAGCTTGTCTGCACCAACCTGAGACTCCGCCCAATCCAAGCTGAGCACAAAAGCCCTCCCAGAGGCTGGCTTTCTCGTTCGCTGCGAATAGGACTTTCCTGAGGAGGGACGGATCCAAAGCTTGTCTGCACCTATACCAAAGAGGTGCACGCGCCTGCAACCAATCTTGCGGGACTCACCAAAGCTTGTCTGCGCCACCCCGAGACTCCGCCCCATCCAAGTGGAGTACAGAAGCCCTCCTAGCTGAGACACTGCTGATCCTCACAGCCAATTGGCTTGGAGAGCAACGCTTCCCAGTAATACCAACAACAAGCAAGGCTTAACAACAAGACTGCACACATAGCCCAAAAAGGGCTGCACCAAGACTGTCCACCTCAGGTAACTGGAAAGGCTGTGCTCCTGGGTTCTAACAGAATACCTAGCACACAAAGCTATTCCATCAAATCAGGGAAGAAGCTAAAATGCAGAGAAGAGGCAGGACACAAAGGAAGGAGATGGAGGATAGTAAAAGAATTGACATTGAGTTCAAAACTACAGTTTTAATGTTTTTCAAGAATTTCCTAAAAAAAAAGCCGATAAAATAAATGAGACCTATGAGGATATGAAAAAGGATCAACTAGAAATAAAGAATACATTGTCTGAAATAAAAAATATTATACAAACTCCTAAAAACAGCCTGGAAGATCGCAGGAATCAAGACAAAGATTTGGAACACAAAGAGCCAGAGGACACTCCTCCACAGAAGCTAGAAGGCAAGAGAATCCAGAAAATTGAAGATAATGTAAGAAACCTCTGGGACAATTTCAAGCGAACCAACATCAGAATTATGGGGGTCCCAGAAGAAGAGAGAGATCAAGATACCGAAAGAATATTGGAAGAAATAGTGAAAGAAAACTTCCCCCACCTGGGGGAAGAAATAGACTTACAAGTCCAGGAAGCGCACAAAACCCCAAACAAAAGGAACCCAAAGAGGACCACACCAAGACACATCATAATTAAAATCCCAAGAGCAAAAGACAAAGAGAATATTAAAAGCAGCAAGAAAAAAGCAGGTAATTTACCTATAAAGGAGCACCCATACGATTGTCAGCTGATTTCTCAACAGAAACCATGCAGGCCAGACGGGAATGGCAAGAAATATTCAAGGTGATGAATAGCAAGAACCTACAGCCAAAAATACTCTACCCAGCAAAGCTATCACTCAGAATTGAAGGCCAGATAAAGAGCTTCACGAATAAAAAAAAAGAGTTCATCACCGCCAAACCAGAATTATATGAATTGCTGAAGGGGGTTCTTTAGGAAGAAGAAGAAAATAAAGATAAAAATTATGAACAACAAATACGTAACTATCAACAAGTGAAACTAAAAGCCAAGGGAATTTAAAAATCTGATGAACAATATTAACTGGTAAATATAATAGAATCAGAGGTATGGAAGGGGAGAGGACTGACGATTCTCAGGGAAAAGAGGAGTGGGGGGTGCGGGAAGAGACTGAACAAAAACTGTGCACCTATGGATGAGGACAATGGGGGGTTAGGAAAGGGCGGAGGGTGGGGTGGGAACCTGTTGGAGGGGAGCAACTGAGGGTGGGGAGAAAGAGGAACATTTGTAATAATCTGAACAATAAAGATTTATTTTTAAAAATATTGCATTATGCAACTATGCCATCCAATTACTTACTCATTTTATTGATAATGGATATTTGGTTGTTTCCAGTTTGGTACTTCTAGGAATAGTGCTGCTGTGAACATTCTGCATAGGAGATGCTCACAGGCAGTGGAGGAGAAGGTGCCATGTCATGAGGAAACAACATTTACAGTGGACTCACAAAGCCCGAGAACATAACTGAGGGTTGCCGGACTGAGGGTTCTCACAGGGCAAGTTGACAGCACTAGTCTCACGTGGAGATGATCACGTGGTAACATTGCCAGGGTAGGCTGGTATAAGGTGCTACGCACAGCAGGCCAGATGCAGCCCCTTTTTCTGGGTTGGTCTCTGGAAGGAAGGAGGAAGAGAGGCTGCCCAGGCAGCCTGTGTGGGATTTGAAGTTCTGGATGGCCTAAGTGTAGTTCCAATGTCATTGCTTTTACCACAGGGCTTTTCCTAAGGAGTCCGAAGTTTCGTCCCACCCTTTCAAGTATAGTCCTTTTGCGTCTCAGAGAGGGAGGTAGCACTGAAGAAATATGGAATAAGCCATGTGAGTTTACTGGGAGGAAATTTGATCACATGTTTGCTCCTTTGTCTCTTGTAGCAGAAGGTTCCCTTGTCACATGGGGTGGACAGTGAAGATGAGGAAAATATTTCTGAGCAAGATTCACCTCCTATACCACAGCCTACACAAGAAAAAGGTAAAAAACAAAATAAACAAAAGCAGACAGCCACAACTTTTCAAATAGTAAAAACATTTTGTGACAATAAATGTTGGTTAACTTGGGGGAACATATAGCCATTTGCACCTCCATACTGTGATTTCTGTTATTACAAGTAGGAATATTTCTGAATTTTATTTTCACTGGAACTGTTATTTCAGAGTCAGTTGCCTGGATATCAGGTTGTATTCATTTGGAGTCCATTTCGTAAGTTCTGTCAGTCAGCCCTGAGAGGACACACGGGGAAAGGCCCACGGCTCAGGCCCTGAAGCTCTACACACTCTCCTCCTGCACCCCGACCGAGGCCTGGCGTTGCAAGGGGCTGGAGCCCAGTGGTCTCCATGCTATCTCCAGTGCCTGGAGCTGGGCCCAGCCCACAGGAGGCTGTCTCTAAGGGTTTGTTGGATGAATGAGTGCACAGACATGATTATGATAGAACTCTAACTGTATGTTACCAGTTGTCTGTATTTTGTCTGGCACTGTGAGAGAATTCAAAATATTATAGTAAAGGCAGGGAACTCTCTTCAGTTTCCTAAAAGATGGCTTATGTTTGAGAAGTGAGAAAGAGAGCCTGCATACAGTGGGCACCAATAACTGCTTTCTCAGGACCCTCTGAGAGTTGCTTGGGCTCAAGGAGAGGTGATTGGAAAACAATGCCAGCTTGCAATACCTGGGCAGAAACACCAATTGGTTAGGTGGCATTTTTTATCCATATGGGAAAATCTGTGAATATTAAAGTCATGTAAAAACTGTATTCCTTTTTTAATTAGAAGTACTACTTTTGCAGTGTAAAAAAACAGAAATGCACAAATATATCAAGTTAAACACACAAAATTGTACTTCATAGATAATTTTTATTATTTTTTGTTGTTGATCTTTACCCAAGGATATTTTTTCCATTGATTTCTTTTTAGAGAGAGTGGAAAGGAGGAAGAGAGAGGTAAAAAGAGGGAGAGAGTAAGAGAGAAACATCAATGTGATGTGAAAGAGACACAATGATTGGTTGCCTCCCACAAGCACCCCAACTGGGGCCAAAGATCGAACCTGAAACCCAGGTATGTGCCCTTGACTGGGAATCAAACCCACAAAACCTTTCAATGTGCAGGCTGACACTAACCCTTCAGTCCAGATACTCTCTATCCACTGAGCCAAACCAGCTTGGGCTAGATAATTACTTTTAACATACAATTGGATATGTATATAAAATACACATTATTTTCTTACTGGCCTTTTTAAAATCTAATGACACATCCTGAATATCTCCCTAAGTTCATACATGCCCATCTACTTCTTTTTTCCTTTGACTTTAGAGAGGGAGGGAGGAGGACAGAGACATCAATGTGAGAGAGAACTATTGATTGGTTGCCTCCTGTACACATCCCGACCCGGGATGGAACCCACAACCTAGATATGTGCCTTAACTGGGAATCAGACTGTGGCCTTTCGTATTTTGTGCCAGTCCCTTCTGACCTTCAAAATTTCTGTTGAAAAATCAGTTGACAGTCTTTTTTTTTTTTTTAATATATATTTTATTGATTTTACACAGAGAGGAATTGAGAGGGATAGAGAGTTAGAAACGTCGATGAGAGAAACATTGACCAGCTGCCTCTTGCACACCCCCACTGGGGATGTGCCCGCAACCAAGGTACATGCTCTTGATCGGAACGAACCCGGAACCTTTCAGTCCACAGGCTGATGCTCTATCTACTGAGCCAAACCGGTTTCAGCAGTTGACAGTCTTATAGGAACTCCATTGTAGATAATAACTGCCTTTAAGATTCTCCCTTTGTCTTTAACCTTTGGCATTTTAATTATAATATATCTTGGTGTGGGCCTCTTTGGGTTCATCTTATTTGGGACTCTCTATGCTTCCTGGACTTGTGTGTCTATTTCCTTCACCAAGTTAGGAGGTTTCTGACATTTTTTCAAATAGGCTTTTAATTTCTTGCTCTTTCTCTTCTTTTTTTTTTGCACCCCCATGAATGTGGATATTCTTTTTTTTTTTTTTTAATATACTTTTATTGATTTCAAAGAGGAAGAGAGAGGGATAGAGAGACAGAAACATCAATGATGAGAGAGAATCATTGATCAGTTGCCTCCTGATGACCCCCTACTAGGGAGCCCTGCAACCTGGGCATATGCCCTTGACTGGAATCAAACCTGCAGTCTGCAGGCCGATGCTCTATCCACTGAGCCACAACAGGCTAGGTCTGTTGGTCCTTTTAATGTTGTTCCAGAAGCCCCTAAAATGGTCTTCATTGTTTTGGATTCTTTTTTCTTTTTGTTGTTCTGATTGGGTGTTTTCTGCTACCTTATTTTCCAAACTGCTGTTTTGATCCTCCGCTTCATCAATCTACTATTGATTCATTTTGCTGTTTCTTCATTTCAGTTACTGCACTCTTCATTTCTGTCCTTTTTTATGTTTTTTATTTCTATTTCTATGTGTGTGTTTTTTTAAAATCTTTTTGTTATCTCACTGAGTTTATCTGTCTTTTTCTAAGTTCCTTGAGCATCCTTATAACCATTATATAAATACATATATATATTTCAGAGAAGAAGGAAGAGGGAGAGAGAGATAGAAACATCAATGTTGAGAGAAAATAATTGATCGGCTGCCTCCTGCATGGTTAAAAATAGTGAATTAAGATTACTTTTTTGTAAAAAAATAAGCTCTTTATTGTTTAGTTGCCCAAGTGTTGGTAATTGTTATGAACCAATAAGTAGATTTATAATGTTGTATGCATCTTTAAGCATTTTTGTCTTTTTCTGAATTCTATACTTTTTCTTTTTGCATATTTGCTTCTAGTTTATTTTTCAGCCAGTTATTTCTGCTCTGCAAATTGTGGAAAGTTAAAAGCAGTGAACTTCTAAAAAGTTGAAAACCCAACTTTTCACTACAACAAGGGGTACAGGCAAACTGGATCATAAGGTCAACCTCTTCATGGAGGATATTAATCACAAGTATCTATTTATAAGTTGAAAATTAGTTACTGGACAAGATTTGTTTTCATTTGTGTCATTGAGGCAGTTTGCTTCAAGGAACAACTATTCTGACCAAGTTGGATGCTACTTCCAGTCAGGGTAGGCCCAGCCCATTTGGGGAGCTGCAGGGGGAGCCTGTGGAGGGAGCACTGGGGTGGGGTGTATTGGAAAGGTGAGGAGGAGCCCTACATGGAAAGGGCTCGGAGTCACACTGAGGAATTCGGTCTTGATTCTGCAATGCTATGAGCCACTGAAGGCGCTCAGGAATGAGGATAGTCAACGATGAGCAGTGCAGAGCTGGGCTCCCTGCCTCACTCTGGGACCAGCTTGCCATGTGACCTGGCCAAGCCTGCTGCCACTCCCTGTCTTGTTTAGCTCCTCTGTAGAAGGTGAGTTTCTATGTGTGATTGTACTTTTCTGGGATATCAAATATCTTTATCTGCTTTTAATTTTTTCTTTCTTTTTAGAATCATATGGTGCACATTCTGTTCTGACTTTAAAGGTAAGATTAGTTTTTTTAAAACTGGTTTTCTCAATAGATTGAATTTCTATCATAATGTTTAAATAACTTTTGATTTCTTGGGGGGAAACCTTAAGAGTTCTTTCTGATTGAATCTTTCTCTCTTTCCTTCTTTTTCACTCTTTCTTTCTTTTTTAATTCTCACTCAAGGACATGCTTAGAGAGAGAGAGAAATATCGATCGGTTGCCTTACCATGCATGGCCTAAGCAGGGATTGAATTCGCAACCCAGGTGTGTGCCCTGACTAGGAATCAAACCAACACAGGACGATGCTCAACCAACTGAGCCATCCTGGGCAGACTGAATGTTTTTTTTTAAACTTAAAAAACTTGAAGAAATTAATATTTTCCATACATAGTTTAAAAATGAAACTAATGTATTGAGAGGTTTGAAATCACTTACATAATATGTACAATGAATAGACAGTAACTAATTTGCAAATATGGAAATAGTTCTAACTTAAGTTTTGAATTGTGTGAGGTCATAGGGATTTAAAAATTAAACATTTATCAATAGAATCTCTATATATAAAAAGCCTAACATGCAAATTGTCCCTATGGACTTTGACCAGACCTAGCACTTGCTATGACATGTGCTGGCCACCAGAGGACGGCACAGAATGAAGGAAGGCCCAGCCAGCATCTGGAAGGCCTCAATCGGCCATGATCACCAACCAGGCCTAAGGACCCTACCCATGCACAAATTTTGTGCACTGGGCCTCTAGCTAATTTATAAACCTCATCTACTTTTTCAGCAGAAATTAGAAGCTTATTATCAGACTGATGTGTAATGGAAAAATTAACAAAAGTTAAAGCTTTCCCTTTCCTCGAAGTTTTGTGTTGAAAAGCAAGATCTTATATTCTTTTCTCAGCACTCTGAAAAACATGCTTCTCTGCAGTTTATGGGGTCTTCTTGCATGTCACAAGGAGAAAGGGCTGGCTGGAGTTTGCTTCGTACATCTCTCTGCTCAGCACCTGCAGCCATGTCACATGCTTTAAGAATGTGAACTGATGGCCCATCACTCATGGGACCTACATATAAAGACATAGTGACTGACTAAACTTACAGGCAAAAAGACAGAAAGTTTGAACAGAAGATGCTAACACTCAATTTATTAGGCTCATGACTTTTTCCTCCTTAGGATGAAAAAATACCAATATGTGGAAAACCTCCACCCTCCCCAGGTATTTGCCTTTTGAATTTGATTATGATTGAAAAGCTTATAATGGAAGTATGTCCTCAGGAGCTGTGCTCTGATCCAGGGGGTGGTGGCTGGAAGGACTTGAGGGATGTGCTTAGATGCTGGGAGGGTGGCATATGCAAATAAGGGTTCTGCTCTGGGGCTGGAGGCAGTGTGAGGTCTAGAGATGTTTTCTGGGGCACTCTCTCCTATAATGTTTGTGGAGCTTCGGGAGCTTTCAAAGTGAATTTTGTAGTTTGCCTGTTATGCTTCACATCACTATCCAAAAACTATATTGGTTATCAAGACTTTTCAGCCTATCCTCCATACTTTCTTAGTGTTGACTTGACTTTCACCCATTCTATGTTGGTGGTTTTGGTGTTGCTGTAGGAGTTTGCTGGGGCTCGAACTTCTAGCCCACAGGCTCATTCGTCTTTGTATATATTCTGCCACTTAGCCCATCCTTTGAATTTATATATTACTCAAAATGTTTGCTTATATGATTTATATGAAATATCAACAAGCATCTCTTTGAAAGTGTTAAATATACTTATTTCAAAATCTTATCTTTTTTGTGCCAGCCACTCTCTCCTCTATAATTTGACTTGGGTGTGTCTCTTGGTTCTGACACTGCTGGTTCTTGGTGGTGTGCCCACCTTGGTCCTTGAGAGGCCCTGTTGGTTTGCCTAGAGACGCTGTATCTGCTTATTGCAGGCTGCTCAGATGGGGAAACCAGCAAGGCTGCCAGTTGTACACAGCCTGTCTCCAGCGACTGACGGGCCAGTCAGGGGTCTTAGGAGTCCCTCTTCCTTATGGGAGTCTACACCCCTTCGGGCCTGCCCTGCCCGAAAGATTTGAGCCGCATCTGGTGCTCTAACTGGACATCTTTCTAGGCCATTTAGGTTGTATTATCTGCCAGGGTGAGGCATCCCCACCTTTTGTAGCTGACGTCTCCTGACATATTTTAGGCTGCAGCTCTTGTCTTCAACCTGTTCTCAATTGTTTTCTTCCTGGGATTCCTCATGGTTCCCCTCTTGTTCTCAGTGTAGCTGTGGAGTTGCTCATTTCTTAGCCTTTCCTTTCATGTTTTAAGGAGGATATATGCGTTTCAGGGTCAAAAGGTGTTATCTAGAGTCACCAGTTCCCTCCCTAGCTTTTGCCTGTCCCCTGGGGTTTGTGCTGAATCTACTGTCTGGAGCTACCAGCCGCCCCCTCCCCCCTTGTCTATCCACAGAAGCTCTGCTTCTTTTCCACCTCCATTTGGAGGTGTGCCCTGGCCAGGGAGCCCATTGTAGTTTTCACCTTTTTTGAGCTCTGTGAGCATCTCTCTCCATGGAACATATCTCTGTTTTCTTCCCATCTTTCCTTTTTCTTTTTAATATAGTTTTAGTGATTTCAGAGAGAATCATTGATCGCTGCCTCCTGCATGTCCCCTATTGGGGATTGAGCCACAACCTGGGCATGTGCCCTTGACTGAAATCGAACTTGGGACCCTTCACTCCACAGGCTATTGCTCTGTCCACTGAGCCAAACCTGCTAGGGCTTTCCCATCTTTCTTAAAATTCTTTGTGATCTCTGGTTTTCTTCTCTCCATGGTGCTAACAGGTATTGCCCACATCCTGGTGGCTCCCCTATGTCAGCTGAGGCTGCCTTTCGAGCTTTGGGCCTGAGTCCTAAACTGAGCTTAGCTTCTCTTGCTCCACTTGTTTCCTTGTCTGGCCAAGTGTCTTCCCAGCAGCAGATCTTGATTTGCCCCTCCCCATTGAGTCCTGTGGGGCTTCAGCCCCTGAGTCTTTCTCTCATAGATCCCTTCTCTGTTCCCTTTGTAGTGCTGCCTCAGAGCTTTTCTGGCTGGGCCTCATCCCTTCCCTTTCTTTACCGCTGCCCTGAGGGATTCATCTGAGAGTAAAACCTCTTTTCACACCTCTGCCTAAAGCCTTCCTGGTTCCTGGTGGCCTCCACTCTGCATATTATAATATGCAAGCACCTCCCCTGATTCCTGCTTCCTCCTCTGTCACCTCTCTTCTATCACCCACTGTAGTCTCATCAGACCACTCATTCTTTCTTGTGCTGCCATCCTCTTTCCCAGGAGCAAAGAGGATAACGTGAGGCCTGACACAAAGTACTAGTTGCTAACATGGTTTTTCAAATGAAGTCTCATGTAATTTTGATGTAAAATTGTAAATGTCACTATTTTAAAATGTTTTCCTTATACCTTTTCAGATATAACTAGTAAAACACTTCAACGATGTATAAAAATAACCAAAGAAATGTTTGAGGAATTAAAAGAAGAAAATTTGCTTCTGAACACAACAAACCAAACCCTTACTCTTGAACTTAACATAGTAAAACAAGCAATGAAAGAACTACAATTAAAATTTAAGAGAATAGTAAAGGAGAATGGAAAGCTGAAAGAGGCTGAGAAAGCATCCTCTAAGGAAGGTGGGGACAACTACAGTTTTTTAATTAAAGAAACAAACAGGACTTAACTCATTTTCTTATTTTGAGAGTTAATATTTTAAGTTGTAATATTTATTGATTTCAATGTTGATATTTTGTTATAATATTCTTTCGTGAATATCGTATATATGTTGAAATTTGACTTTATCTGCTATATCGTTATTATTGTTATGCTAAAGAAATTCTATTTACATATATTTCATATCAGTTTTTATCTCATTGAACAGCATATAAAAGTGTATTTTCACCACATATTTACTAATGATGAGGATTATATTTTTCTTGCTTATTTGATAGGCAAAAAAAAAAAAGTAATCCGTTTTAAATTGTATTTGTCTTATTATCAGTGAGCTTGGATATTTTTTGCATATCTTTGCATATCATTTTCTTTTTCTTTTATAAATTTTTCCACTTTAACAAACATGTTTTTATTTATTTTAGAGAAAGAGGAGGGAAGAGGGAGAGATCAAAACATAAACATTGAGACCTAGCCGGTTTGGCTCAGTTGATAGAGCGTTGCCCTGCAGTCTGAGGATCCCAGTTTGATTCTGGTCAAGGGCACATACTTGGGTTGCAGGTTCAGTCCTCAGTCCTGGTCGGGACACGTGCAATAGGCAACCAATGAATGTGGCTTTCCCCGCTCCCTTCCACTCTCTAGAAATCAATGAAAAAATATCCTCAGATGAAGATTAGCAGTAACAAAAAAAAGATAAATAAAATATAAAAAACATAAACATCTATTGGTTGCCTCATGCACGTCCCCTACTGGTAATCCAGCCTGGCCAGGGCTGCATTATATTCTTTATTCAGGTTTCTAATGTCAACCTCTTAGCAATAGTCTATGCTAAGAAATTAACATTGGTATGTTACTTTTTTTTTTTTTTTTTCGCCTGAGGATATGTTTTTATTGATTTGAGAGAGAGAGAGAAACATCAATTGGTTGTCTCTCTTACACACCCTGACTGGGTATCAAACTCACAGCCTAGGTATGTGCCCTGATTGCAACCTTTTGTTACATTGGATGGTACTCCAAGCAACTGAGCCACCATGGCCAGGGCTAAATTTTCCGACTTTACATTGAGGTATCTGGCTTTTTCTCATTGTTTTATTTTGAGTATTAAGGATGTTAGCCTTTGCCATGTATGCAATATTTTCTCAGTTTGTTGATAATTTAAATCTAAATGATGTTTTTCTTTTATGGCTTATGCCCTGGGTGTCAAATCCTTTTTACCACTCAGGTTATACATATATTCACTGATCTTGTCTCTATACGTCTATCTATTAATATAAGGCTAATATTATTGCCTGAAGAAAGATTATATCATTTTCTTCTATAGACCTTGTATATTTCTAATTTTAGTCACACTTATTTCTAGATACTTTACATTATTTATGTTATTTCTTTTTGAGATCTATTTTCTATTATGTTTTCTAATATTTGAGAAAGTTATTTTAATAAATTTTCCATTTATACTCTATGATTTGAAGACAAATATTTATATATCATTGGAAACAATGACTTTTTCTTTTCAATCTAAAGTTTTTATTTTACTTTCATTAGTTGTACATGTAGAAATTTCCATAAACTTCCAAAATGTTGACTATTTAGTGTTAAAAATCTTAGAAACTTTTATTCATTTGAACCTATATATTTGTAATTCACTGCCTCTGTGAGCCCAAAAGGGAAAAAGGGGCAGTTGGTTAGCAATTTATATAAAATCTTAATCTATTTGATACACATTTTTAGAGAATAATATTAATTTTTTCCAGTAGTTGATGAACCTGAATTACTTTACCTAAGAAAACAAGCTCAAGAACTGGTGGATGAAAATGATGGTTTGAAAATGACAGTCCATCGTTTGAATGTAGAACTAAGCAGATATCAAACAAAATTCAGGCATTTATCGAAGGAAGAGGTAATGTTTCCAATTAAGAAAAATCAACCAATGGATGTGGCTTTCCAGATTGCAGATTTTTTTTTAGCCTTTCAAGTTGAATTGAGGAATTCATATTTATTACAATTTGGCATAAAAATACATATACAAAGCACAGCATGTCTAGGGACCTTCCTATTTCCTTCTCCCCTCAACCTCTTCCCTCTTCCCTTTTTTTTTTTTTTTTTTTTTATATTTCTTTATTGATTTCAGAGAGGAAGTGAGAGGGAGAGAGAGACAGAAACATCAATGATGAGAGAGAATCCTGTATGCCCCCACTGGGGATCGAACCCACAACCTGGGCATGAGTCCTTGACCAGAATCGAACCTAGGGCCCTTCATTCTACAGGCCAACACTCTATTCACTGAGCCAGACCAACTAGGGCTCCATTCTAAGTCTTGTTCCTCAAGTTAGAACTATAATTTATCAGTGCACTAATTCTCAAAAGAAGACAGACTAGTTTATACAGACCCCAAATCACCTAACTCTAGTCAGTGGGACTTGCATTCATGAGTCCAACACAGGTTTATAGAAAACAAGAAAGTTTTTAAATGGGCTCAGGAGCACACCCCCAAACTCCAAAGCTGTACACTCCGGCTCAGCACAAAGGGAACAAGCAAATATGGCCATCTCCCACTTTTTCCCTGAAAGAGGTATAACTGCATACTTCCCTGACTGCTGCCTGAGGGTCTGACTCCTAATCATCCTGCGTCTAGGTGCTGCCTGCAGTCCCCTCGTTGGGACACAGTGGGTCCACTCTCCCTGAAAATCAATGAAAAAATATCCTAGGGTGAGGATTAACAAAAAATTAATAAAGAGACCCACACCAAAACACATTATCTTGAACCTTTATACTAGAGGTATGATTTACCCACTATCATTACAATATTGGAGTATTATGAATTTAACTATATATTTACCTTTACCAGTGAGTTTTATACTTGCATGATTTTGTTACTAATTAGTACCTATTCTTTTCAGCTTGAAGAACTCCATTTTTAAAAAACATATATATATATTTTATTGATTTCAAAGAGGAAGAGAGAGGGAACATAGGAACATCAATAAGAGAGAATCATTGATTGGCTGCTCCTGCACACCCCTTACAGGGGATGGAGCCCGCAACCTGTGCATATGCCCTGACAGGGAATCGAACTGAGACCTCCTGGTTCATAGGTCAACGCTCAACTACTAAGCAACACTTATCTTAAATTGTCAAAAGGTAAAAGGAGCACACAAAAATGGCCGTCTCCCACTTGGAGTCTGAGTCTCCAAGAGAGAATCTTAAAAATAGCAAGAGAAGACATTCTTCACATACAAGGGAATCTCCATAAGACTATAAGTGGATTTTTCAGCAGAAACTGCAGGCCACAGTGGAGTAGGATGATCTATTCAAAGTGCTGAAAGAAAATATTCTGCCAACTCATATTAGTCTACCTGGAAAAGTTGTCCTTCAGAACTGAGATAGTTTTTCAGACAAACAAAATTCAAAGGAGTTCATCACCAGCTGACCAGCTTTACAAGAAATATTAAAAGGAATTCTTCAATGCCTATCCACTGTTGCTTAATATTTGAGCGTTGACCTATGAACCAGGAGGTCACAGTTTGATTCTCTGACAGGGCATATGCACAGGTTTCAGGCTCCATCCCCTATAGGGGGTGTGCAGGAGCAGCCAATCAATGATTCTCTCTTATTGATGTTTCTATGTTTCCTCTCTTCCTCTTTGAAATCAACAAAAAAATATGTTTTTTAAAAAATTGAGTTGTTCAAGCTGAAAAGAATAGGTACTAATTAGTAACAAAATCACACAAAAGTATAAAACTCACTGGTAAAGGTAAATATATAGTTAAATTCAATATACTCTAATATTGTAATGATGGTGGGAAATCATACCTTTAGTATAAAGGTTAAAGACAAAGGTATCCAAAATAACTATACAGTAATTTGTTAATGGATAAACAATATAAAAAGGCATAAATTATATCAAAAACAAAATGTGGGGCGGTGGAAAAATACAGAGCTTTGTGTTTAATGTGACCCAGTGAGGAGACATGTGAGCATGTAGATGCCAGCGAATTAGAAGCTCAAAGTTAAGTTGTTATTAGCTTAAAAGGTTAAAAATGTTTTATGGAAGCCTCATGGTAATCACAAAGCAAATGTCTAGGACAGATGTACACAAAAGAGAAAGAGAAAGGAAGAATCAAAGCATCCCACTACAGAAAAGCATCAAATCCCAAAGGAAGAGAGCAAGACAGGCAGAAAGGAATTACAAAACAGCTAGCAAACAGTGAACAAATGGCAACTAAAATGGTCATACTTAACAATTAATTTAAATGAAAGAACTAAATCCTACAATCAAAAGACATAGAGTGGCAGAATAGATAAACGGAAAAAAGACCCAACTATATGCTGCCTACAATAGACTCACTTCAGCTGTAAGGACAGACTTAGACTGAAAGTGAAGGGATAGAAACATACATTTAACGTAAAGGGAAGCCTAAAGAAAGAAGGGGTAACTATGCTTATATCAGACAAAATAGAGTTTAAATCAAAACAGTAAAAGAGACAAAGAAGGTGATTACATAATGGTAAAGGAGTCAATTCATCAAGAGAATATGGTCATTGTAAATATTTATGTACCCAGTATCAGAGCATACTAAGGGTCATAAGAAACTAAACAGTTATACTTCCTAAAATACTTCATGGTATTAAAAAAAAAAAAAAAAGTTGAACTCATAGAAAATAGGTGCAAGTTGAATACATTCTATAGATTACAATATAGTATATTGCTGTTGAGTTCTTGATTTTTATGATGGCAGTGTGGTTGACTAAGTGAAGGTTTTTCTTTTTAGAAAATACACACTGAAGTATTAGAGGAAAGGAGGCATTTTATCTCAAATTACTCTCAAACATTCCAAAAGAACATTTTCTACACACATAGATGCACAGATTGCTGATGCATAGTTAACTAAGAATATCTTGAGGCTTGAAATTTCAGAAGTATAGTTTAATTTGTCTTCAAAATGTGTTTTGTTCTTAGAGTATAAATATTGAAGGCCTACCATCAAAGGGCCCTATACCACCCTGGTTGGTAAGTAAAATTTATTTAATTTCAGGCCCATATTTTCTGGGCTGTATTTGAATAGCTATTCAAATCTATTCCAAATTAAGTGCATTTTATCATCTTTAAAAAAAATTGCTGATTGTGTTTAAATGTAAGAAATCTATTAACCTTCTTTACCAACTGTTATCTTCAGGTGGACACAAAGTACCTATCGCCCTTACTGCTGGCTTACGAAGACCGAATGAAGGAAAAAGACGAGCTCATTTCCACCCTTCAGGTAGGTTGGCAGATGTCAGAAGAGTCAAGGTTTATTATAAAATAAGACCATTTTAAACTTTGAGTACCTATGCAAACATCTAATAGATACCCAAATGTTTGTTAAAGGAAAGGAGAAAGGAAGGAAGGACTGAAGCAGGGTGGGAGGCAGGGAAAGAAGGAAGAGGGGAGGCAGGTTGGGAGTGACTGGTGGAGCAGGAGGGTGGGCAGGGTTAGGTGGAGTTTTGGAGGGACAAGGTGGTGCGCACTGGAAGTTCCCAGACAGGCACCCCACATGGGCTGGGCTCTCTGGGTGCAGAGAAGGCGGCAGTGCAAGGCATTCTTTCCTGATTGTCTGCAGCTGCAAACACCACTGTTGGAAGGGACATTTGGGCAGACTGGGGAAGGGAGCAGGCCAGGGGTGTTTTTCGGGGACTTCTTAATTCAGTGAAGAGCCGACCTCAGGGAATTCCAATCATTGAGCGGTTGGAAAAGTGAGAAAGTGAGGTTTTCATTCTTTTCTGCCTGGGTCACCTCTGTTGTTTGGGGAATGGCTTCTGGAAGAGAAGCTCATTGGAACTGCACAGCAGACCAAGGCTCTGGGTGTTGCTGTTGTGCCCATGCCTTTCCAGGCTGCGTACCCCTGTTCCCGCACTGAAGGGGCCAGAGAGATCTCTGGAAGCGGAAGGGTCCAGGGGGAGAAGTGTTGGTTTTCCTGGGATCCCCCCTGGAAGGGTCTCTTAAGAGTCCCATGTCCATGGCCCATGTAATGTAGTTTAAAAATTATTTAAAAAAATATTTATTGATTTTAGAGGAAAGTGGAGTAGAGAGAGAGAACATTGATTTTTGCCGTTCCACTTATATATGCATTCGTTGGTTGATTCTTGTATGTGCTCTGACTGGAGATCAAACCTGGTGGGACAACTGAGCTGACCGGCCAGGGTTGTAATGCAGTTTTGAAAATTTTCTTCTAGAGGACAAATTAAACTTATACTAATAATGAAATATCCACCCTAATAATTAATAAAATTACTAATTCAGTGCTCTTTCTAAAAGGGGTCAGGAGCTGTGGCCAGGAAACTTGGTTGGAGCATCATCCAATACACCAAGGTTTTGTGTTTGTTCCTGGTCAGGCTTATACAAGAAGCAACAATGAATGTTGTATTGGATGATGCTCCAACCATTTTCATCTCCCAACCAATGGCTAACATCCAATCTTATTTTACATTAGTTTCAGCTGTGCAGGCCCCGCACCTGGCAGCTGAGTGTTCAAGCTAGGTGTTGCATATATGTGGGGATTAACTGTTCTGTTCTTACTACTTTTGTATATATTTGAAATTTCCTTGGGTGAGCATTAACAAAACAAAAGCATGTCCAGATATTCGTTTCTACAACATCCCTTACTTTCTTGTGGTTGTAATGGAGCCAAACGAAGAGACTCCAGCCCCCACACTAATCTCTTGGAAAGGTCTTATTTTTATCTAAAAAGCTCCATTTTATCCTTCAAAGTCTTTAAACAAAGGAAAAAGTGTAGTGTTTACAAGCATCTCTGCTTTTCTTATGACCTTTTTATTTTGCCAAGTATTTGGCAGTTATAGAAAAATGTGATGAAAGTAGGATTTGAATGATTATACCCTGAGGTTCAGGTTCCTTGTGCTCAGCATTTTTTTAAAAATATATTTTATTGATTTTTTACAGAGAGGAAGGGAGAGAGATATAGAGCTAGAAACGTCGATGAGAGAGAAACATTGACCAGCTGCCTCTTGCACACCCCCTACCGGGGATGTGCCCGCAACCAACATATATGCCCTTGATCAGAATCGAACCTGGGACCTTTCAGTCCGCAGACCGACGCTCTATCACTGAGCCAAACCGGTTTCGGCTCAGCATTGTTTTTATCTCCCTTTTTCTCAGGCTGAGCTGCTCCGGGGCAGCTCCTGGTGTCAGGCTGCTGTTACTGTGAGACTCGCTAAAAAGTTGTTAACATCTGATTTCAGCCACAGCAATAGCAGCAGAACTAAGAAATATAGGTGTGTGTGCATGTGTGTATTTGTTTACATCAATGTTATTTCAGGAAGAAATGAGAATGTTCAGGATGCGCGCCCAAGAAGTGGTGAAAGAAAATAAAGAATTGCACCAACAGTTAACCAAGAGTGGTCCTGTTACCAGTGAGGAATGGCAAGTAGTCTGTGTTTGATATTTTACTAGTTAAAAACAAAAGATAATGTGAATAAATTTTATTAAATCACCAAATATGTTTTCTTTTTTACAGTAAAATACTTTAAGGGAGAGTTTCTAAGAAACTAATGAGGTATAATGAAACCCTAGTAGTTTATTCTAAACTTGTATTTTAAAGATTACTTTAAAAGTTCTAAATAGGTTTTCAAACTTGAACTATATTTACTGTCCTTTTTATTTCCTGATGTTGTATTTTTCTACATGCTTTTCCCACCCCAAACCTGTTGGGTCCCACTTTTTCTCTGTCTCCTCCGCTCACGGGCTTTAGCACAGTGAACACTTGACACAGCCCTGCCCTGCCCTGCCCTGCCCTGCCCTGTGTGTCTGTGCAGGCCCCGCACCTGGCAGCTGAGTGTTCAAGCTAGGTGTTGCATATATGTGGGAGTTAATTGTTCCATTCTTACTACTTTTGTATATACTTGAAATTTTACATTTTAAAATTTACTAAGAAATTTATAATTTAAACTTCATACTGTCCTTTCTCCCCATTTAATGCATATGGTGAGGTTAATGTGTTAATAACATGTTTAGCATTAAAACATGTCCAGGTGCAGTAGGAGGCAATTGATTGATGTTTCTCTCCCCACTCCCTCCCTTTCTCCCTTCCACTCTTTCTAAAAATCAATGGAAGAAATATCCTTGGGTGAGCCTCAACAAAACAAAAACATGTCCAGATATTCGTTTCTACAACATCCATTACTTTCTTTTAGACTCTGACAGTCTCTAACCACTGGGCACCTGAATGGCAGTATCTAATTTTATAAATCACTTGTAGGCATCAGCTTCAGAGTCAGGCGGAACTGGTTTTAGAGGAAAACAGGTTGTTGATAGAGCAGTTGGAGATTCAGCAAAAAAAAGTCAAGGACACCCACCAGGAGCGTCTCCAGGAAGGTGAGCTGTGATGGCGATGCTGTGATTTTGTTCTGTCATTTCACACTGGTACCCCTCTTTCTGAAATGGAAATGGGAAACAGAAGATCGTGTTTTTTAGCATACAGTTTCCTTACTGAAATGCAGTTGTTGTTTTTTTGTGTGTTTTTTTTTGCCACGTGATAGAATGATTTATTAGAACAAATTCCATGACAAATCATATAAAATAACCATTTTCTAAAAGACACCCACAGCCGAAACCGGTTTGGCTCAGTGGTAGAGCGTGGGTCTGCGGACTGAAGGGTCCCGGGTTCGATTCCGGTCAAGGGCATGTACCCGAGTTGCGGGCACATCCCCAGTAGGGGGTGTGCAAGAGGCAGCTGATCGATGATTCTCTCTCATCGATGTTTCTAACTCTCTATTCCTCTCTCTTCCTCTCTGTAAAAAAATCAATAAAATATAATTTTTAAAAAAAGAAAGAAAAAAAGAAAAAGAAAAGACACCCACAGACCACCTGAGGACAAACCGGAGGAGCCTCCACAGAGCCGGACACACAAAATGCAGTTGTTTATGTTATAACATATCTAGCCTTTACCCATAATGCATCAATTGCTTTTTCTTAGGCTCCAGTATTGCTTTAATTATTCTGTATATTTTATAAATCAATTGTAGGTGACAGCACAAGGATTTGTATCTGTTTGTGGAATGAGTAAAGAAGTGGTGCTAGTTGGTCTCTAAACAGTTTCTCTGTCTTTGCCCTTCCTTCAGAAGTGCTGTCAGAGGTTAAATCTATCAGAGACTGTCACAGGTGTCCTTCCCCGCCCCTCGGAGCCTCAGTATATACAGCTGGACTTCGAAGTGGGCCGGTTTAAGAGTAATTTCTTCCACTTTCATTAAAACCAAAATTCATAAACAAAAAGATAGTGGCATTTTTCCTTTTGTTTTACTGATTTTTCTTTTCCAGTGAAGATCAATATAGAACAAGAGGCCAAAACACAAGCATGAGCCCAAGTAACCCTTCCTTTTTTTCCCTTCCTGTGCCCCAATATTGAACCCTCCCCTTTCCACACATGGAAGAGTTAAGCCAACAGCCTCTGCTGCTGCTGAGCTGGAGGCTAGCACTTCACTTGTTCCTGGTAGCCAGGACATGTTGGAAAGAGAGAGCATCTCTCAGCATCCAGCCGAGTTTCCTCCATGGAACATCCCACAGCCTGGTCTGTGTGCAGCACAGAAGTATGTGCGCCTGCTCTGGCGTTATTTGTCTGAAAGGGGAGAGAGTGAATGATGTTGAGCCTCCTATCTTTGCTTTCAAGATTAGAGATGACAGGGAAAATTAATTTCTTATTGACTAACAGAACAGATCTGAATAGGTATCATTCTTCTGGTCATGTGGGGCCAGGCTAATCTTTTGGCCTATCTGATTCAGTCAGCTGCCTATGTTATTTTTCAATTTCCCAGAAATAGCTATTTATTGTTACCAACTAAATGGTTTTATGGAGTGGAAGGATTTAAAGTTTTATACTATAATACTTCTATGTACTAGTTTCAACAGATGCCCAGGAAGTATCTTATTATTACATACTATGATGTCAAATAGGATGAAGTATTTATTATTTACTTTAGATACCGGACATAAAACAAAAACTTAATGAGAAAAGGGAAGAAAAATAATAAATTTTGGTCTTAATTTATGTTACTGAATAGAAAGAGTTTGTCCACTGAGAATTACAGTTGAGAAAAATTGGCTATCCTATCTAATAAAAGATTAATATGTAAATTGACCATCACTTCAAGACACAAGATGGCCACCCCTAGGTGGACCCAGATGGCCGCCACAAGATGGCTGGCAGGGGAGGGAAGTTGTGGGTAGTTGGGAGAGACCAGGCCAGCAAGGGAGGGCAGTTGGGAGAACCAGGCCTTCAGGGGAGAACAGTTGGGGAAGAACAGGCCTGCAGGTGAGGGCAGCTGGGGGATATCAGATCTGCAGGTGAGGGCAGTTGTGGGTGATCAGGCAAGCAGGGAGAGCAGTTGGGAGAGACCAGGTTTGTAGGGGAGGGCAGTTGGGGGGACCAGAACTACAGGGGAGGGAGATTGTAGGCAATCAGGCCAGCAGGGAGGGCAGTTAGGGGGGATCAGGCCAGCAGAGGAGAGCAGTTGGGGGGGACCAAGCCTGCAGGGGAGGGCAGTTGGGGACAATCAGGCCAGCTGGGGAGCAGTTAGGCATCGATCAGGCTGACAGTGGAGTGGTTAGGGGTGATCAGGCTGGCAGGCAGGAGCAGTTAGGGGCAATCAGGCAGAGGCAGGCAAGCAACTGGGAGCCAGCAATCCTGGATTGTGAGAGGAATGTCCAATTTCCAGTTTAGGCCCAATCTGGCCTAAACAGGCAATCTGACATCCCCCAGGGGGTTCCAAATTGTGAGAGGGTACAGGCTGGATTGAGGGACCCATTCCTACCTCCATGCACAAATTTTGTGCACTGGGCCTCTAGTTTTATTATAATTGGTGCCACCCACCCAAGAGAAGGGAAAGCTAATGCTCAAAAGCCCGAACTTGAAGGTTTATGGACAAGGTGTTGTATAGAGCAAAATCACAAGTTATCATGAGGTAAGGGGCCCTGTTTGGGTAGCTCAGTTGGTTAGAATGTCCTCCCAATATGCCAAAGTGGTGTGTTTGATCTCCGGTCAGGGCACATACAAGAAGCAACCAATGAATGCATAAATAAGTGGAACATCAAATCGATCTTTCTGTCTCTCTCAAATCAATAAATACATTTTTAAAAAGAGTGAGGTAAATACTAATTTTAAGTCTTGAGGCCAGCTTTGAGTCTCTCATATGGTTTCATGGGGACATGGCCAGAGATCATTGTGCTTTAGAACTCGAGCTGAAACATAACACAGGCTGTGATACTATCTGTAGCTTAATGGAAACCCATACCTTGTGACCCTTAGTCCACGCATGGCCATTGTTTCTGGCTGCTTTAGGGGATTAATAACCATTAAAGGAAGGGGCTAAGGATTATTAAGTGGGCATGCTGTGATGAAACGGAATAGTGCTGGGGTTCCATATTAAATCAAAATCATACATTAAATCAGGATCCTTGGTTTCATTTGACCAAATTGAATGTCCCTGAAAACCTTGGAGTTTTAGGGCCGACATCCTGAGGTGTGCTCACATATGTACATGTGACTCAAGCATTCAGTTTTTAGAAAGTTCCTTGAAGACTAAAACCATATTTTGTTAAATATTTCATATTTAACAATTATATCAAGATATTGAACATCATTAAGAGAGTTTATATTTAGTGAATGCTCAATATAGAGACGGTAATTTCTAAGTACAAGGTGTTTGGTATTAATTTATAAATCTTCAAAATATTTTTTAAATATTATTTTTTATAAGCTGGCTCATTAGTAATTATTAATCATATATTAAATTTCTTGTACCAAGTCTTTGTCCATCCCTTTTATTTTTCAGTTTCTAAGCTGACTAAAAAACTAATGCTTCTGGAGACTAAAACACAGAGCCAAGAAAAGGAGCTAACTGAAAGCAAAGAGCAACTGGAGGATTTACGTACCGAATGCCAAGAACTGAAAAGACAGTTGGAGAGCAAAATAGCAATGAAAATTCATACTACGATTGTAAATGATTTACAAAAGTACGTATTAATGCCTTTTCAAGGGGTAATGCACCCCAATGCATGTTGGTATAGGCTGAGTGGGGAGAGGTTGCTCTGTTCTTTCTTTTTAAATCTTTGTTCCATCTTTTTCTGAGTCTCTTTCTGCGTCATTGTAGCTGCATGACCAGAGGTGTCTGAGTCTGAGGATGGTAAATACTTTATTAAAGTAGAAGAGGCTGTCTCTGAGGGCTACCCTCTTCACTTTGGGTGTATGATATTTTCTCTACTGTTCCAGCCTTTATTGATGTTAGAACCAAAGATAATTTAAAGAGTTAGATCTGAAGCCTAGTGATCCAGCAATAAGAAACGGGTTAAATGAAAGGATGCAACCGTAAAATGGAATACAACGCAGCCATTAAAAATAATGTCACAGCCGAAGCCGGTTTGGCTCAGTGGTAGAGTGTCGGTCTGCGGACTGAAAGGTCCCAGGTTCAATTCCGGTCAAGGGCATGTATGTTGGTTGCAGGCACATCCCCGGTGGGGGGGGTGCAAGAGGCAGCTGGTCGATGTTTCTCTCTCATCGACGTTTCTAGCTCTCTCTCTCCCTTCCTCTCTGTAAAAAATCAAATATATTAAAAAATAAACAAACAAACAAAAAAAACTGAGCCACCCAGCCAGGGGGAAAAAATTAATAATAATAATAATAATGTCACAGCCTGACTGGCATGGCTCAGTGATTGAGCGTCAACCTATGAGCCAGGAGGTCACGGCTTGGTTCCCAGCCAGGGCACATGCCTGGGTTGCGGGCTCAATCCCTGGTGTGTAAGAGGCAGCTGATCAATGATGTGCTCTCATCATTGATGTTTCCATCTCCCTCTCCTCTCCTCCCCTCTGTCTTCTCCTCTCCTCTCCAAAATCAATAAAAATATACTTTTAAAAAATTGGTTTTAAAAAAAGAATTATGTGCCCAGCCACACTCTCTCCTGTCCTCCAGGCGCTCCATCCCAGGTCCTCCAAGGCCGGGTGGGGAGATGCTGTGCAGAGGCCTTCCACATGACCCACCAGGGGCTGGAGTGCTGGGTTGATTACCAAATGGCTGCTTCATTGTAGCCTCTGTGCACTGGATACAAGCCTGTGCTGTTTTTGTCCATTAGCCGGTTGCAGAAGGAAGAAGAGAAAGAAAGTGCTGAAATGGAAGAGCTGATGGAAAAGCTGGCGGTCCTGCAAATGCAGAAGAAGAGTTTGCTGTTAGAGAAGAACAACTTGACAGCTAAAAACAAAGCGCTGGAAGCTGAGCTCGAAAGGGCGAAGAAAACAAATAGGTCTTTATGTGTATTTTCCTTCAGCTTTTTTAGTTAAAAAAAGATGTTGAAAAATATTCTTTCTTTTTCTTTTTCTAATATTGGCTATACAATAGAAAGGAATATAAGTATAGTAAGAGCTTTTTTATTGACCAGCATTTTTCTAGCCTATAGTTCACATATTATTGAGCGTTATGATTCTAAGACTATGAAACTTGTAGAAGTTCTTTCCTAACCTTTTCCTAAAAGTCTACTTTGGGATACTGAACTCCTTTTCAAAAGTAACTTTTAGAACATGAATCTAAAAATGAATAGAATAAAATATTATTAGCTTATTGTGTCAAAGCATTTTCTGATTTCTATTGGCTTGACTCTGAGTCAATAGTTATGTTGAGTTTAAAATTAAATTCAGTTACCATTTCTCACCTTGAAACTTACAGATTTAGATTGCTGAAGAATAACTTGATGTTTTTATAATACAGATATTCATTATGCTATAACCATCCAGGTTAATGAGTTTTTTTATTCCATCATTTGGGGGAACTCTTTAGGAGATCTCAAAAAAAAGTTGATGTCCTCAAAAAGCAGGTTGAAAAAGCCATGGAGAATGAAATGTCTGCTCATAAGTACCTAGCAAATCTTGTTGGCCTGGCGGAGAATATAACTCAGGAACGTGACAATCTTATGTATTTGGTAAGTCTCCTCAGTTGCTTCCAGGGCACTGTAAGTTTATATGCAAACATAATTTCAGGAGTATTTTTTTGTTTGTTTTACAAAATTATCCATAAACAGCTTCATTTTTAAAAATTTCAACAGCAAAATTTCAAATTCTCTAAAATTTTATCTTTCAATCATATGGGGAAAAAACATTTTTAAAAGTCAAATAACTCAAACTTTTTAAATAATGGCAAATTATATTTTAAAGGTAAACTAATGGAATTAGTCCATTCAACTAAATAGGAATAGTAATTATCAGGTGTATTACACACACACACACACCTGAAACTTTAGATTCTCTCTGTAAAACTGACAGTATATTTCCAGTTTAAAGAAACATAAGACTCATAGAAAGGTTAAATAGAGTTCATCCTAAGGACACAGTTTAAAGGGCAGTGACATTTATCCCCATTGTTCCTAACGCACCGGTCCTCAGGGAGGGAGTATAAATTATTGGTGGTGAAGCTCTGTGCAGCCGCAAGAGTGATGCCATGGACATGATCCTTGGTATCTCCGCAGTTATTTTAAAAGATGTCTACAATAGATTGTACAGTGAAATAAAATAGATGCTCTGCCAAGCTATATGCATTGAGAAAACTCTGATAGGAATTACTGCCAAATGTTATAGTGAATTAGATATTCAAGTGGTGGAATTACAAGAGATGTTTTTAAATCGTGGTAAAATTATAAGAAAAATTTTAAAATCATTTTATTTATCTGCATTTTATGATTTTTCTACATTGAATTCATTGCTTATTTTAGCAATGTTGGTAGTGTAGGATCAGATGGATTATATTTTAAAAGGTAAACTAATGGAGTTTATCAGGTGTATTACACACACAACCTGAAACTTTATATTCTTTATAAACTTTATAAACAGTTTAATGGATGTCATTACAAAAGAGACTTGAGGACTTTCTGAGAGAGTCAGAAATTGGCAAAGTTGGAAGTAACTTGGCCCTTCCCCAGGTGATTGAAGTGTGGAGAGTCTGTCACAGGCTTACTCCAGTTTGCTAGAAAGATATTGAGTTCCTCCATAGGAAAATGCACAGAGGTTTTATCTATGTTTATATAAGAAGAAATAGAAATAGTATCCAAATCTTGGGGGAAAATGTTGAAAATGTTGATTTAAAAAAAAAATACATTTTATTGATTTTTTACAGAGTGGAAGGGAGAGGGATAGAGAGTTAGAAACATTGATGAGAGAGAATCATCGATCAGCTGCCTCCTGCACAATCTCCACTGGGGATGTGCCCGCAACCAAGGTACATGCCCCCGACCGGAATTGAACCCGGGACCTTTCAGTCCGCAGGCCGACGCTCTATCCACTGAGCCAAACCGGTTTCAGCGAAAATGTTGATCTTTTAAAAAAATTTTTTAAATTTTATTTTAGAGAGATAAAGGGGAAAGGAGAGAGAGAAAAACATTGATGAGAGAGAGAAACATCCATCAGTTGCTTCCCTGTTTCCCCTTCTGCTCTGCCTCCTGGGCTTACCCATTGTTATATCAAGAGGCAAACAGAGGCTTATTGAAAAACATACACTGCCAAGCAAACCCATTTATCTAGCAGGCATTCCTGGGGACCTGGCTGTCTTGTGTCATTGCCACTGAAAAGACAAAGCCAGCCCGGCCAGTATTGCTCAGTGGTTAAGCATCGTTTCCTGATTAGGGCATGTGCCCTGGTGTGGGCTCGATCCCTCCTAGGGGGCATGCAGGAGGCACGGGTAGGACACCACGTTCCTGCTGCCCATATGGGCCAGAGAGCATTCCAGGCTTCCATGATGAAGTCAAGATCTTCCTGACCCTTAGGTCCACACCTCATATTTATGAGCTTAGGATAGAAATACAAATGGACGCCACATACTCTGTGTTCAAATATAATACTTAGTTACAAATCATGACATAAAGAAATGTGTTTTCTCCTCCTGCCTTGACCTTGGTTATCATGGCCTGAAATCCAGGCCTGACTTAGAGTCTTAAGACCCTCAGACATGGAGGGAGCTGCTCTCAGATGCCCTGGCCTACCCACTGAGGGATCTCTGTACAGACACTGCTGTCCCCTTGACCCTACAGGTCCTTCCCCTGGGGAGCCCAAGACCAGCCCCCTCTAGTAGCCATACACTCCCACCTTGCCCCTTTCTGGTCTCTTGGGCTTTGTGAAAGCCCTTTGTATTGATATTGGCATCTTAATTTCTAATCCTGCCTTTGGGATGGGTTTTCTGTGTGACTTATGACAAGTTAAATAACTGTCTTTGTTTTATTTTTCCTTTTTCATAATCGAATTGCCGCTACTAGCCTACTCTAGCAGAAATGCTCAGTTTTATAATTTTTAAGTGATTTGAAATAATTTATAGTGCATAGTTGTTCATGTCCATGTAGATATTAATATGAATCATTCAGCTTCAAAGTATATCCCTCCTTGGAAATACTGCCTATGACATTTGTTTAGAGAAAAGCATTGTGCATCCATATTAAGTTCTCCTTAATTTTGTAATTACTCAAATAATTCAAGTTAAAGTTTATTTGCATGTTGGCACTTACTCCCTGGATATGATTGAAGGACGGAGAATGTGTTAGAACCCTGGCAGCCTCTCCCATCCCCTGGTCCTGGGCACAGATCTGCTGTCTGTGCCCAGGAGGGACACCAGCACGCTGTCCAGCTCTTGCCCCTCCTCAGCTGTTGGCCAAGCTTTGCCCACAGCCCCTCACACAGGGAGTGGGAATCCAGGTGGGGCCGGGAGAGTTTGGGCCAAAACAAGTGGCAGAATGGAGATCAGTTGAGAGTAATAATATTCTTTGCAGAATAATTTTTTGTTCTTTTAATTTTTCTATAAAACTGAGAGCCCATTATTTTTCTTTTCACCTTTATCCTTAGGCCAAATGTTTAGAAAATGAGAAACATGGAGTTCTCGACAAAATTATGAAAGGCAATATTCGCATGGGAAGGTTAGAGGAAAAAGTCAAGGTAAGTGATCATTTAGCCTTAAAGATTACTTTTTCAAATGGGAACAGAGGCTGACTGGGTACAGGTTTCCACAGGAAGATACATCTCGCGTGTGTATAACGCTGCTCACCCAGAGATTAAAGCAGCACATGGTTTTGCTGGCTGAAATGGCACCTCTCCAGGGGTAGCATCTCTCTACTCATTGAATAAACCGAAGCTCATCTGCACAATAAGATACAATGCAGATGTGGTTTATTTGTTTGTTTGTTGTAAATAAATCTTTATTGTTCAGATTATTATAGGTGTTCCTCTTTTTTAGCTCCCATAGCTCCCCTCCACCTGATTCCCCACCCCACCCCATGCCCTTACCCTCCACCACTGTCTTCATCCATAGGTGTAAGATTTTTATCCAGTCTCTTCCTGCACCCCTCAAACCCCTTTCCCCCTGAGAATTGTCAGTCCACTTCCTTCCTTGATTCTATTATATTCACCAGTCCATTCTTTTTTTAGATTTTTTTATTCACTTGATTTTTAGATTTACTTGTTGGTAGGAATGTATTTGATGTCATTTTGTTGTTCATAATTTTTACCTTTACCCTTTTCTTCTTTTTTCCCCTTCTTAAAGAATACCCTTCAGCATTTCATGTAATCCTGGTTTGGTGGTGATGAACTCCTTTAGCTTTTTCTTATCTGTGAAGCTTTTTATCTGACCTTCAAATCTGAATGATAGCTTTGCTGGGTAGAGTAATCTTGGTTGTAGATTCTTGCTGTTCATCACTTTGAATATTTCTTGCCACTCCCTCTGGCCTGCATAGTTTCTGTTGAGAAATCAGCTGACAGTCATATGGGTGCTCCCTTGTAGGTAACTAGCTGTTTTTCTCTTGCTGCTTTCAAGATTCTCTCTTTGTCTTTTGCCCTTGGCATTTTAATTATGATGTTTCTTGGTGTAGTCCTCTTTGGATTCCTCTTGTTTGGGGTTCTGTGCGCTTCTTGTACTTGTAAGTCTATTTCTTTCACCAGGTAGGAAAAGTTTTCTGTCATTATTTCTTCTAATAGGTTTTCAGTATTTTGCTCTCTCTCTTCTTCTGGCACCCCAAAAATTTGAATATTGGTACACTTAAAGTTGTCCCAGAGGCTCCTTACACTATCTTCATATTTTTGGATTCTTTTTTCTTTTTGTTTTTCTGGTTGGGTGTTTTTTGTTTCCTCATATTCCAGATCTTTGGTTTGATTCTTGGGGTATGTTGATCTACAGTTGAGTTTCTAGATATTCTTTATTTCAGACAGTGTATGCTTAATTTCTGACTGGTCCTTTTCCATTTTTTTGACATTCTCATTAAAGTCCTTGAAGGTCTCACTAAACTCCTCAGAGGTCTCATCAAGTTTCTCAGTGGTTTTTAGAAGATTATTGAGTAACCTTATAAATGTGGTTTTGAACTCTATGTCATCCAGTAGTTTTCTTTCCTCCATTTCTTTCATTAGTGACATGATTCTTTGTCTCCGCATTTTGGCTCCTTCCCTGTGTTGATGGAGTGGCTTTGTGTGGTAGGTGACCTGTAGGGGCCAGTAGCTTAGCCTCCCCAATCACCTGAGGTGTATGCTCTTGGTATACCCCTTTGTGGGCTGAGTGCAAATCTTGGTGTTGCCTTAATTGCTGTTGGTACACTGGGAGGAATTGACCTCCAGGCCAATTATCTGTGAAGACCTGCTGTATCTATAATGGAAGAACTGCTGTGCTGGAGATACGCTTATGGTGCAGGATTTGTTTCAGTGGGACTTTGGTGCTCACTGAGTCTGCCTCTTAAATGTGTCACTTATAGATGTGAGGAGTTGAAATCTGGTGTCTCACACTGACTGCTAGGTACATTGGCTTCTGGATCTCCAATGGACTGCAGGTCAGCTACTGTCTGAGGCCACCCTGCAGGAACTACGAGAACTACAGTTTTCTCCTTTTGCTTGGGGTTTGAAGGTTTTGGAGCAGACCCAGATTGCACGTTTGCTAGGGTAAGCTGTGATAGGACAGGCCATTCATATTGCAAAAGCCACTGCTTGGAGCTTGGGTGTGTTTGTAGGTTGTTCAGGGTGGGGTCTCAGGGTGTCACTAGGCTAGGGTGTGGCAAACAGCGATGGCTGCCAGTCAGCTGTCTCTGCATCTCCGACTACATCCCCATGTCCCACGCCCCAGCGCAGTAAACAATTATTCCTGCGTGCAGTTCTGCAAGCAAGCCACCCTCACTTTCCGACCCAGTGGCAGACAGTCCAGCTTCTCCCCATATGAGTTTGGGTCTCCCGCATCTCCCCATAAACTGGATTTCAGAGTAATCGGGAGTTTGTCTCCCTTTGGGTTGAAAAAAACAACGCCCGCTGCCAGCCCAGTTTGCACATGGCTCCGTGCCTCAGCTTTTCAGTGCTTGTGCACTGAATGCTCTTTTCTCTTTCCTTCTAGTTGTAGGACTTCCATTCAACCAGCTTTCCCATGGTTCTGGGTGATAGACGTTTTGTCTTTTAGTTGTAGTTTTGAAATTGTTGTGCAAGGCAGCAGTTTAGATGTTTACCTAAGCCACCATCTTGGATCCTCTCTTTGTTTTTTTAAAGGCTACAGAGCTGGGGGAGAGAGCAAAGCAAGTCCGAGAGAGGAAGTGAAAAAAAAATTAAGGTGGGGATGGTGGGCAGGGGTAAAGATAAAGGAAGGAAGGAATGTGGGGAGAGAAGGAGGGTAGGAGAAAAATGGGAAGGAGGAAATAAAAGTTTATAAATGATGAGTCAGTAGGAAAAACTGTTACAAAAGGAAAGAGAAAAATTGTGTGAAAGGGAGAAGCCAATAAGGAAGTCAAATACAATTGTGTGTGAAGTGGATAAGATTAAAAAAACAAAAAAGTTAACAGGGGTGACCAGGCCGGCAGGGGAGGGTAGTTAGATGGATCAGGCAGGCAGGTGAGCAGTGAGGAGCCAGAGGTCCCAGATTGCGAGAGAGATGTAAACTGGCAGTTGGACATCCCCCAAGGGCTCCCAGATTGGAAAGGGTGCAGGTTGGGCTGAGGGACCACCCCCCTCCCTGCCTCATGCATGAATTTCATGCACGGGGCCTCTAGTGTATTCATAAAAGCACAATAAGGAGCATAAAGGATAGAGATGAAAAAGGCAAAGACAAGAAAGCAGAAATATGAATGTCAAAAGAATTCAGTAGAAAGTGATACAGATCCAATATCCTATTGGTACAGTCTCCAAAGAAGAAACTAAACAACGGAACTTATTAGGGTCTAACCATAATTCATAAAAACTTTCTGAGATAAAAGAAGACTTGAATCTACATATTGAAAGGACACAATATATGCCTAAAACAAACACATGGATCCAGAAAATTGACATCAACACCTATAACTGTAAGATAAACAAAGAATATCTTGAACACTCATTCAAAAGACCAAGGTATAACAAAGAAAAAAGCCATGTTGGCATCACACTTTTCATTTACAACACTGAATGCCAGAGAATTGTGGGCTACCATCCATAAATAGTCAAGGAAAGAGAATATGAGTCAAGGATATTTCCATCCAACTAAGCTGCTCTTAAGACATTTTGACCATGTAAAAACTTTGTCCTAAGGATCAATCAAACAGAGTTTAGCCTACCAAGAAATAATTGGGCAGACTTTGAAAAAGTATTAATAGTAAGAATATACTAAACTGTGAACTAAGCATTAAAACAAGGCATGAGCTGCTTTGGCTCAGTGGCTAGAGCATTGGCCTGTGGACTAAGGATCCCAGGTTCGAATCTGGTAACGAACACGAGCCCAGGTTGCGGGGTTAATCCCCAGTAGGGAGTGTGCAGGAGGCAGCCAATCAATGACTCTCATCATTGTCTCTTACCTCTCTTTCCCTCTCCCTTGCTCTCTGAAATCAATCTATAATAATAAAAGTGATATATGCTAATTAGACCGGATGACCTTCCGGACGAAGCTGGGGCTGCGAGGGAAACCCGGGTCCCGGGTGCTAGAGGGAAGCCAGTGCTGGCAGCCAGGAAGGAAGCCCCACTCTTGCATGAATTTCGTGCAATGGGCCTCTAGTAAAGATATATATATATATAAAAAAAAAAAAGCAGGGATAAGTTTGATAGAGTAGAATGTAAATATTCTCTGCCAATGTGAAAACAATACAGCCAAAGAAAAACTGGTAAGTGAAGGGGGAAGGAAGGTAGAAAGCAGAATAAACTAGCTGGCTGCTTCATATGTAATAACTTGAGTCAAAGGCTATCATTTAAAGCTGAAAAATCAAGTAGGAGGCACTTAAGCATATTGAAGTAGGAGAAGAGTGAAGAAAAGGCTATGAGCTAACATGTACTTACAAGCCCTGGCTGGTATAAGTCAGTGGGTAAAGTGTCAGCCTGTGCATCGAAGGGTTGCAGGTTTGATTCCAGGTCAAGGGCATGTACCTGGTTATCAGGTTTGATCTCTGGCCAAAATCGGGGCAAGTGAGGAAAGCAACCAATTGATGTCTCTCTCACATCAAAGTTTCTTTCCCTCATCTTGCCCCATCCCTCTCTCACTTCCACGATCTAAAAAAATCAGTGGATAAAAATATGCTCAGCCCTAGCTTGTCTGGCTCAGTGGATAGAGCATTGGCCTGTGGACCAGAGTCCCGGGTTTGATTACAGCAAAGGACACGTACCTTGGTTGTAGGCTCTTCCCTGGGCCCAGGACCTGGTCGATCTCGTACAGGAGGCAACCAATCGATGTGTGTCTCTCACATTGATGTTTCTCTCTGTCTTTCCCTCTCTCTTTCACTTTCCCTAAAAACCAATGGAAAATAATCTCCTCGGATGAGGATTAAAAAAAAATTATGGGATTTGGCAAAAGCAATTCTAAAGGGAAAGTTCATAACTAAACAGGCCTACCACAGGAAGCAGGAAAAATTCCAAAAAAAATAATCTAACTTTACACCTAAAGGAACTAGAAAAAGAACAAAAAACAAACAGACAAACAAAAAAAAAAACAACAACACAAAGTAAGTAGAAGGAAATAA